ACGACACAACTTCACACACACACACACACTTAATGATCTCTGACTCACACAGCCACACACTCCCCTCTATAGAAATATATCACTTAGAGTCTTATAACCATGCAGTCACGCGCACATTCACGCACACAAACTGTGCCGCACTACCTTGATGTTCTCATCATTCACACCAACACGTGCTACCGTCAGGAGGCATCCGTCTCTGTGTCTGACTTCATAGGTCAACTCTGCGACAGTGGGCAGCATCTCCTCTGCCCTCGTGGATAGACTTTGATGACCCAAGTCCACTTAGAATGACTAAAACCCACATTTCAAATACGTCATCTGTACATCAGATAGTGACTGACTGTTTTCTCTCTTTGTGGGTATATCTGCAGGTCTTCTAACTTGCAGTTTAATAAGTTAACTTATATATTAAGGTCTGCTGCTAATGGCTTGTTATTGGTAATTTTCTCTGAGAAGTCTTGTTTCAAATAAAGGTCAGAAGGGGAAGCTTTCCTGAGCAGAGTAATTTCTGTCTGGTGCCCCTGTATATACAAACAGGCTCACAGACAGGGTGGTGATAAGGATAAGTGTAATTAACCTGAGACACATATACGTGGGTACGCAATGGTACAATCAGATTTAAATTTGCATGTTTTCAGATGTTGTGTTTATCTTACTATTGCACGTGTTGTGTAGCATTTGAGCCTTCAGATACTTCTTGTCATATGAATACTAACCATAAATGTCTTTGACATGGATGTCTTTGAAGAATTTCCTTTGAACATTTTAGTATTCTTAGCAAATGTGCAAACTTATACATATTTAAATCTTCAATTTGACCAAGATATCGCCTGATAAAATGGAAAATGAAAAGGATATTTTTTGAGATTGCATTTTTACTTTTCAGTTCACATGAATATTTGAAATGGGTTAACTTCACTCATCCATAAATTAAGTCTATAGTTGCTCCCTCCCTGTGCTCTCATGAAATATTCAGGCATGAATGCAACATGTGTGTTTTCAATCATGTAGACATAGATATTCACGTAGGCTACCAGTGTTGCAGCAGAATCTACTTCTTTTGTTCAGTTTTGGCTTCTGCCCTATCAAGGACAGTGACACACACACACTTGAACTGAAATGTGCACACACACACAGTTTTGACAGCACAATAAAAACGACAAGTACAGTCAAAGTCACAACCTTTGCTTTACTCCTCCGACCAGTACACGGCCCCTTACAGACACATCTCACTTGATTCTCTTGGCAGTGCTCCAAATCCTCCTCAGTAAAATTAGGCATCTTATTTTCTCTTTTGTTCTCGGTTTTCCCCTTCTTTTCTCTTCACTCCTCAGCTTTTATCTTGCCGAGCCTCTCATTCCTATCAAATCCTCTTTTCTCCTTTTCTCTTTCCTGTCGCTGTTGTCTTCGTTAGTCTGTCTCACATTGTAGTGAAACAAGTTCCACTCTGATCCAGAACTCCACCATGGGCTGAATTCATCGGCTTATCCACTGTGTGTACGTGTGCATGTGCGGGTGTGTGTGTGTGAGTGGAGTGTGAAGCGACGCTGTGAGAGAAAAGTGTGCTTTGAAAATGGAAAGCAAGAGGGAGTGAGAGGAAATTTGTGTACGTGACCTCCTTTCCTGGATGCTTGACAGAATGGGTAGAGAGCTTGGATTGGGTGGTCGTTGCAAAGCACTCAGCCATCCATCGACCGACAGCCATTGATCTGCAAAATCCAATGACTCACTAGCTGCTCAGTATGCAACCCACATACAGTTCATATACATGCAAACGCAAGTGCTGTGTGTAAACAAGCGCACATGCAGATGCTGATAGGAAGGCCTGTAAGTGTAATTACTGATTAATGTAATTACAGTCCACATATTACATGAGTATAATTGGCCATGACTATTAAACTGAGTTACTCTTTCAGAGGTTGTAGATTGCTAACCCACACATAGTAATTACAAAAACAACACTGGAAAGTAAAGGCGGAATTAAAATACTGGCTCTGCATTCCTAATTAAAGCATTTGTCGCAGTTGTCCTTTTCTTTACTGACTGTATGAAATGTATTAGGGGTGAGGCGGGGTCACAAAAGGGGGAGGATTAAAAAGAGTGTAGTCTGACTTTTTTTTTTTTTCTTGCAGAGCAGGGGAAGATCTTCTGAATTTAACTCATTCTGGATTTAAATTCTTATTTCTCTTCCCTTTTGAGATTAATCATATGAATATAAATCAAACAGTTACATCAAAAAAAAGGGGAAAAAAATACATTGTGTGCACCATGGGCAATAAAGGTGCTCTCGGCATTAGTATAATACCAGCCTATTTCCAGGTCACTCATTTGATGGCTGTAATAATTTTTTTTTAAGCAGAGTACATAATGGCCGCATTTTCACCATTTTGTTGTGTTTGCCATGAATATATTGTTTTGAGATCTTGGAGAGAAGGTTTTACAATGGGTATTGTCTCGTGGAGGGTCCAGCAATACTCCTATGCTCCTCCTATACTCCTCATACTCCTACTTTTCTCTATAATACTATAACACTACAGTGCTATATAAAACTTTATTTTGGAGGTAAACCAACTATGCATTGAATGTGCAGTATGCATGAAAATGTGCGCTCACTCACTAATCTTAGATAATGTTGTGAATGAACAAATGTTGCACATATGGATTCACTTCACTGCTTCCTGTCCTCCATTTCGACAACAAACTTTAAGGAAAAGTTGAAACTAAAAAAAAATTTACATGGTCTCCAAGCTTAACTCTTGAGGAAAAAAAAAAGTTTAAACTGACAAATGATTGACAATCACCATCACAATAAGCAAACAAAATAAGAAGTTGTTCCACCCATGAAAGATTGAAGTGATGAAAGAAGAAAGCGGAACAGTTTAAGGCTTTTCTTTCCTTTTCTTTGGGGTTTGTCTCATTTGAAGAGGAAAACTATCCACGGCACTGTTCAGTCCAAAGCCCTTAATCCATGACAATGGTAATGATTGTATTTTTTTTTTATCTCAGTGTATGCCATGTTGATCTCACTGTGGAGTTTCTAGCCTTTTTTTATGTAACTCACTGAGCAAATCTACAGATTAAAACCTTTTAAGCTTTCTTCATGAATATTGCCCTGGGTTACTCGTCTTTACTCGACATCTGAGTCGATCAGAAAACTTGCAATCTGAAAATAAAGCGTTTAATATGTCAAAGCCTCTAACCTACTTAACTTACTGTCCACTGTTCTGTTAGAGGTTTACTCTCAAGTGTTTTAATGCTCATTTTGTTGCTGTGGAAGCTCTAAAATTGCCTGTTTGTGATTTCACAGTTAACGTGTCTTGATTAAAGTCTTTGGAAATGTATTTACTCACTGTTCTCCACAGTAAAAAATACAGTACAAAGGGAAAGGGCACCACTTGTAGGAGGGTTTCATAACTGCAGGTGGGTTTTTGTTCTGAAACTGCAAGAGTCAAAGGAAAACCAGGACATACATCGGCCTCCCAGACTGCATTTCCCAAACAACATTCCCATAGATACATATTTACTTTATCTATCTTTATCTTTGTCTTACACAAACAAACACACGTGCCAAATCGATGAAGTAAACAGTCAGGTTGTGCTGTTGGGGTTCATTATAGGTCTGAAAGCCGGTCACTCACTCCTGAGCGGTGCACAACTGAACCCATTCACACCTGGCAGTACCTGGTGCTAATTTTAAACAAAGGAAACTCCCAGGAAGCTTCCAGCGTTGTGCTAACCAGTTTTCTCCATACGTTTTAAATCACATCATGTTTGCTTATAGTATTTTGTCATGGGGTATGCCGCACAGCACTGCACATATGGCTACAACAACTCCATTCCTATCGTGTCAAATTAAAGTAATTACACCTTTAATCATGAAATAGGCTGTGTGGAACTATGTAGTCAGTTTAGTACTAGTACTGTCAATTATAATTTGATCAAAAATAATCTGCGTAGAAAAGGACACTGACACGTTTAGATGAGCACTCAAAGCCAAACAAAACAAAACTGGGTCCCTCCTCATCTTTACCAAAATTCTATTTCTATGCTTTCTTAGGTTGGTCATTTGGAAAGACATCTAGGACCTCCTCCCAAAAGAGGCTTTAAAATATAAGTATACAAAGCTTGACATCTAACATATGTTTTAAAGCAATATACTCACTACTACTCTGACATTAAATTCTGATGAAATTCACTTTTAAAATACAGTTGCAACTAGTGAAAGTGACCAGTGACATTTCTGAAATGACACTCCACCATGGTTTTTAAAACAAGCTGCAGCCTATTCATCCTCTGTTAAACAAGTTTCAGTCTGTCTTGATGTTTTCCCATCTGCAAATTTACAAACTGTTTCAGTTAATCCCAAATCCACTAGGTGGAACCAGAGGACAGTTGATTGAGCATTGAGCAACGTATTCATTTCTAACTCATGGTTTGAAAAATTGAATTCATTTAAGATAATTATGTCTCAGTATATAAAAAGCTCAATTGATTACTAAACAATGTTATCTACTTCATGCACTTTGTTTCAATATAAAATCAGAGGACTAGCTTGAAGAGTAGTGTTTTAATGTCTCTTTCACTAGATATTTAAAATATATAATGCTTTATATTGACTGAATGTATTATATGGTACCTTGATAAATTTCAATAAATTTAATCTCACTATAACCTTTTCAGCCCAATGTAAAGCATCTACATCACACAGCTTTAAATCAATTTGATCAAGTAAATGATGAACAGAAAGAACTGCCTATAAAAGTGCTTTTAAAAACTAATGCTTGTTTGTCATAAATATGTATTAGTTGATGAGTTAATACACAGTCCTCTACAACTGTTTGTAAAAATGAATCCAATCATCTTCATCACAATCATCAACCAGCCTAAACTCAACTGTATTCCCCTTTCCATTTCTAGAAGGCATTCAGTGTTTAAATGTGAAGTGACACATTATGAACCTGACTTAAGTATACATAGCACACAAAGACAAGAATAAATACAGATCACTGAGGTTTTTAATAATCATCAACACATTTATGTACAAAGCAAGCGGTGTCATATTCAAATGACCAAAAAAATGAATCCTAAAATGCTTTTTTTTGTCATTAAAACAGTTAAAGATTACCCCAGGGAATCAATTCACCAGTCACTTTTGGTACAGAGTCAGTATAGTTACAGTCTGACAAAATTGTCACAGATTATCTTCAACAGTTAAACAGCCCTGGGTATAGAAAAATGACATGGGAGGATGGATCCAGATTTTGAAAATAAATGAGAATTATGAGTGCAAGATTCACTAAAAACCAGAAAAACCTCATCCCTGCCAGTTTCCCCGAAAGCACCAAGATCGTCTTTGTTCTTCAGTTATCCAATGGGACAAATGCTTACAGTGAAACATGGACCCTGTTTACTCACACAAAGAACCAAATACAGGCCAGGGTAACAGTATCTACATGTAAAAAAGATATTAATTATATGAGTGGATTAAATGAAAAGGGGCTTGTTGGGTCTTTCATTAGGTTTGCACATTACTACGTGTTCAGTTCTCTATAACAATTCTCTATTTGCCACCTGAATACAATGCTGCAAGATGATCAAATTTTATGTGGTTATAACTCCTTGTTCAAAAAAATCAAATTGAGACAAAGAACCTGATTGTCTAACACACAAAAACATCTAACAGTGTCACAGCTTGGGACACACTCAACTGTCTGTCTTCAATCCCATTACCACTTCTCATCATTTGTCACCCTCAGTGTAATAACATGAATTATCATCTTCTTGTGTACCTCTAAAAAAATGACACCAATGGAATTTATGTATTAATAATGTAAACAGCCTAACAGAAAGACCAAAGTCTCTCTAAAGTGTATTCAAAAACTGTTTTAATCATGTATTCTATCACACAGTGAAACAAGAATTACTTCCATTTACAGTATTAAGAGAATTTGCATTTTCATCCCTCCCATTCCTTATCAGGAATTTTGGATGGATGGATTTTTTACCACTAGTCTCAAGTATTATGGCAGGTACTGTGCTGCGGGCAAGGTCCCAACAACTAGGACATCCAAGACATCCAACAATCCAGCATTACTTTCAAATGACGCTCCGAAAATCAAACCCAGATGAAAAATGATAGAAACACAGACCTTTCAAATGTTTCTTCTAATTTTAAAATTGCATCATGGCAATTCCCAGGAAATAAAAATATATGATATGCTTTCTATGTATCTTTAAGAACCAGTGTATAGGATTTAGGGGATCTATTGGCAAAAATATAACATTAATGTTTTCATTGGTGTATAAGCACCTGAAATTAAGAATTGATGTCTTTTTATGTTGCTTAATAGGTAATAGGGATAATAGGGATTGGGTCCTCTTCTACAAAGCTTGCCATGTTGCATCGCCATGTTTCTACAGTAGCCCAGAGCAGATAATTTAAACACTGACTCCAGAGTGGGCCTTTCACATTTCTATGTTACCTGAAAGCCACCGTAGGTTCTCCTACTCGCTTGGAAAGGGAGGGGAGAGGGGAGGGGTATTCAGTTGGTTGCAATCTGCAATCTCCCTGCTAGAGTCCACTAAATCCTACACACGAGTCCTTTAAATTATATCTTTTGGTCTTCTGCAAAACACAGAACAATGCATGTTAGGATGTTGGTCTTAAGACTGTGGCAGATTAAATGCTGATTCAAATCTACAGCAAACATGTTTCCTGGTTAAATCCCAACAAAGCCCAAATGAAAGAGGAGGTTAGAGTCAAAGATTAGCTTGATGTCATTTAAAATATAGGTAAAGAAATTCACACCCAGGGCAGTACTAACTGAATTAGTTGTTTTGTGAATAGAGATGATCATTTTTATGGTAGCCAAATTTCAAACTTTATTCTTTTATCAGCCAATGTATTCATTTATTCCCTTCCTTCAAAATAATCAGATCTGGCACCCTGTTCCAGGATTCACAACATGTTGACACTCTCTTGCCCTGGAGACCTAGGCTTATGAAAACAAATCACGTGAGGATCTACCAAAACTTTGTCTGCATTATTTGTTTATAAAAACAGGGACTAGAGGTAACCAAGGGAATACAGCAGAACAAGGAAGCAATCTCCACTCAACACAATCCTTTAAGAAAGCATAAAAGTAAAACAAATTTAGAGAAACTAATCTTTTACAAAAACACTTGCGCCACTAGTTAGTTTGGTTTGTTTCCTCTTCAGTCTTTACAACAGTGACTGCTTGAATGAGCAGCAACGCTGAGGGATGGGTGGTCAAAGTCACTATATACACACACACAGATTCACTTTACAGTCATACAACTGTGCACACGTCAGCATGTCCAGTTTTCTCAGTGGTATCACAGGTGACAGTCTGCCATTCTCTCACACACACAGAAACAAACTGGGGAGCTGAGGGGGGCAGTGGCTGGTGCCGGTGCTCCTATATCATAACTGTGATAATTAGGGTGCTCTTCTTCTGGGTGGTTTACGAGACTCAGTCAGGATATCTGGCTGCCAGAGGGAACTGTGGAAAGGTAGGTCCCTCCTGTGAAGCATTTTTTACATTTTCCTTCAGTCCTTCGATGTGTGGCTGTGTGCAGAGAAAGAGAGAGGAGACAAGGTCAAAGTGTGAACAGTTTGTCTAATTAGCTTGTATTAATTAATGACACAATCATCAATAAATGTGTAAAGATGACATCATTAGGCTTCATTCATAACTTCATAACTACTGCTGGTCTACATAATATTGAGAGGAACAGTTTAGTGGGAGGAAAGGCTGATAGCATTTTCTTTGTTAGCAAACATGAAGCAAGAGTTAATCTGTCTGAATAGCACAGAGAAAGAGAACTACTGTTTAGGGAGTTATGTGCACTGCTCAAATTATCCAGTATCTTGGCAAAAACTGGCACAAAAAACGTGTCTCAGTAAACACATGATGGTGAGAATGTTTAAACTTAAGATATGGTTGATGAGTGGAATTATTATAAAGCTAACAACTGCACTTTGCAATGATGGATGTCACAGTGCAGTGTTAAAGTAGTATTAAATAATTGTAGTACAAAGCTTATTGTCAGGTGTCAAATAAAATAACTAGTGGGCCAAGATCAGCAGGGAGTTATACACAACCAAAAACCAGAATGTTAACGGTGGCACGGAGCATTTCAAATGAAAGGAGGAAACATCTCAAACTTATCTAAGCACCTCAAAGACAGGCATCCAGATCTGTACGTAGAGTTCAGGGTGTGAGTTTCAGTTGTTAACTTTATATCAACAACATGTCGTCAAAATGTTTATATCCTTAAAAATCGCCATTATTGCTTGCGAATTGCGACAGCTGACATCTGTCGTAGCAATGCTCCACATATAATGTTCACAAAGGCTAATGTTAGCTTGTTTGGCGAACATAGTGACAGCTCATAATGTGAGCTGTGTGCTCACCACATTAGTAGGCATCACCATTCAGTCTATCAAAATATAATGTTGACTTTTTTGAATGAATATTTTCACACAATTAGTCTGTCACATTGTAAGCAGGGTTTTGTCCTGCATAGAGAATTACGAGACAGCTTCCTCCATCTAATTTCGTGCTGCCTCCAGCTCTAGATAAACACTTCTTTCGAACAAGCGTTTCACTCAGTGGATTTCTGTCATTTGTAACTGCAACTGCGGCATTAGCTTTCGCGCTATATTGTAATCAGCACAGCGCACCAGGAAATGCACTGCTAAAACTACAGAAGAAGAAAAGAAAATTCCTCCAAAGAGGATCTGTTTTCTCCCAACAGCAAATATGTGTCAGGCAGCAGAACCTGATGTTTCGTGGCTGTGAAAACAGATGAATATTGTTTCTTTTGCATCCAAGCACGTCAAATTTCTCCAGGGGCTCTCGAGGACAAGAATCATGAGGGCAGATGAAACAGCGCAGTCATCACTGATTGTTACAGGCAGTTAAAAAGTAATAATTCATGTTACTTGCAAGATGTGGTAAATTTGTCAGGTTTGGAAGTAATGCACAGTCCCTTCCACTTCTTGTGGAATTGACTGCAGATCACAGTCTGTGTGCAGGATGAGGAGTCAAGGTGAGGGTATTTAGTTGCCAAGTCTTGCCAAGACTTTCTTTGATTTTTCCAGAAACTTTTCTCAAATCAGTCAAATATTAGATGGAAAAATATTCAACTGGTGCGGATTAAAAAAATTCTAGGGACACTAACAGTTCATTTGTAAATGTGACACTAAGGCAGGAAAGGTTTGTTGTAGGGCTGAAGGAATATATTATGTTAATTCTTTTAATTCATTGATTGATCAGTTGATTCAATTAATCGTTTAATTTAGTCTTATAATGTCATGAAATTGTGCAAAATGCGTAAGGTAATATCTAAATTGTTGAACTGTTTATGAATTTGTTTATTGTCCTTTTGTAAATTGCTCAGGATTCACTAGAACTCCCTAAAATTTGTTGTTTGTAAAAAGTTCTTGCAGAAAGACAAAAGTGGACCAATAAGCATTTAACTGATACAGTACGTTAAAATAAAGGAGTTGATTTCAAATTGTGATGGCGGATGAATATTTTTCTACTGGACAATTATCAATTGGAGAAGGTTTACATTAATTTAATAAGCTTAAAAATGTAAATACACAAGTATAATTCAGTTGCTGAAAAAGACTCATATTCGTATATGAAGTTTGGAAAAGAGAACCACAGCATGCCAAGTGCTTTTTAATCCAACACCCCCACAATGGAATAAAGGTGAAATTAAAAAACACTGATAAAGAATCACGATGAAATGGAGGAATAAAGATTGGAAATTTTACCGTGAGGGATTGGCGGTTTTTAGCTTTCATCATCTGAGACATGGGGTTTAGCAATGGCCATCTCCTCCTTGCTATTTGCAATCATCTTACACTTCTACAAAACAGAGAAAAACACATCCGTTACTTAGTACAGGCACAGGTACTGTATGCACATATACATCCACAAACACAAAACCACATTACTCACTTTTCAACATTCTTACATTCAACAATGTTTCGTTCAAACATTTACATTAACTTTATAATTACTGCCAACCTATAACACGCTTTAACACAGACCAATTCACCCCCCACCCAATTACCTCAGTAAGCTCCTTGATGGTGTGTATGTTAGCCTGCTGAGTGACCTTCCTCTTTGCTTCCTCGATGTGGTCCAGGTTAAGGGTTGGTGTTGGGGGGGCGAGGCAGGGGGGAGGCTTGTTAGTGATGGTGGGAAGTGGGGCAAGGGGAGGCATGGCCGCAAGGGCACCCATGTTGGTCAAGGCAGCTGTCATAGTAGCCGCTGTCATACTTGCCATAGCGGCACTCATGGTGATGTTTGACATGCTGGGCATTCCGGGAATATTGGGTATCCCCATTGGACCCATGTTGGGCATATTCGGCATGTTGGGCATCCCCATGCCCATTGGGAGAGGTAAAGGTAGAGGTAAGGAGAGGGGGGCAGGAGATGGAGTGGGTAGAGGGAGCTGGAGGATGGCTTTTGGCCGAAGACTCTCAGGAATGGGAACCCCCGCCTTCGCACACATGGCAGCAGCATTAGCCTTAGCTATCTCCAGCAGCTGGTCCTTATCTGAACACAGGGCAATAGGGCATAGAGAGGGTGGATGGAGAGGAAAATAAGGCAACATTAAGCATAAGAGCAGTCTACAACAAATCTTAAAACAAAATCACGTTAAATTATGATATAAGTGTGGATATACAATCATAAATGTAAGCATTAACCGTCTTTCATTGTCATTGGTAACTATCTAATTGTTTTACCCAGTTCAGTGAGCCGTGGAGGAGTCTTGCTGGTGCTGCGTCTTGTCCGCGACCCTGAGCGGCGCTGTTTGCGCAGGATGAGAACTGGGGAGTGGCTAGGTTCCCTCTTCCACCTATCCCGTCTATCGAACGAACGACTGCGAAACACTGGGCGCCTCCCTCGACCCCTCGATCTAGACCTGCGTCTACGATCGGAGGAACGAGACCTAGATCGCCTGCTTCTGTCTCCTGACCTAGACCTTTTCCTCCGGCCTGTGGAGCGGCTCTTGGATCGCTTGCTCCTCTCTGTGGACTTGGACCTCCTCCTCCCTCTGGTGTTAGGTGAACGGGTTCGAGATCGCCTCTTGCGGGTTGGAGTGCGAGACTTGGACCGGCGGATTCTGGTTCGAGACTTGGAGGATGACCGTTTACGCCGTGTGGTGGAACGTGAGCGTGACCGCCGCCTCCGGGCAGGAGATTTAGACCGTCGCTTCTTCCTTTCTGATGGAGAGACGGAATCTCTTTTCCTCACTGGAGACTTTGACCTGAGGAAAGGCGAATGATTAATATTTGCACAGAATACTGCAACTTAATGTGGTGGGATAGCAGTTACAGAACAAGCAGAAGGCTATGCGTCTTACTTGTTAGTTACATTTACTAATGCAGCATGATTTGAGGATTAGGCCTGGTGATGCATTTGAAGTCCAGTTCATAACATCCAATACCTTTAAATAATTTAATTTAACGCTCTTTAAGGAACCAATAGAAACCCTCATTCAGGATGCACAAGGGGTGAATACACACACTAATACACCACAAACCTGGATTGCTTCTTTCTGGATGTAGACTTGGATGTTGATCGTCGAGGCGATGAAGTTGAGCGTGAAAGTTTCCTGCGATCCGTAGGTGACCGTGACTTGGATAACTGCTTCTTCTGCACTGGAGATGCTGAAATGGAGGAGCTTCTCTGGCGTTTAGATGCCATTTTAACTGGAGATGAAGAATCCTCTTCTTCATCCGTGCCTTCCGAACAATCTGATCCATCTGGGTTAGGCTCTTTGGAACCAGACCTGGACCTGGAAACATCTCGTTCATTGGATGTACTGGTATGCTCCATCTGCTCCTTGTCATGGTTGGTTGCAAGCTGTTCCTGCAATTTATCTGAGGAGCTCCCAACTTGGGGACTGGAGGCAACTGCTGAGGGCACGGGTTTCCAACCACCTGAATGATGCATGTTAAATGACATGGCATAAAGACATGTTAGGACATTTTAAGAGAACAAAACACTTGAATTTATCCACATTATACACTCATAAATATTCTCCACTTGGAAAATAAAAACAAACAAGGAGCATGATGTTAACCAGCAATTCTGATCAGCTTGGAGGAATGAGGGGACAAGAGTGACTTGATTGTAATTTGTCACTGGAATCTAATTATGAGTGGGGGCGATATGCGAGATAGGATCCACTTTTTTTCTACGATAGGCAGAAGCTCTTGGTAACTGAGCAGATACAGCAATTATAGGAAGAAAATCAATTTGAGTTATGTTAGTTTGCCAGAAAACGTAGGATTGAAAAGTCTGACCTGTTGTAGCTGAAAGTCCTCCACTTTCTCCAGCTGTGTGCTCTGCCTTAGGAGAAGAAAACATCTTCGCTTTAACAGGAGAGGAAGATGTGGATCTGGCTGGGGAGCAGCTGCCAGACTGCCCATCACTTGACTCAGACCTGGACTTTGATCTGTTCAAGTCCACAGAGTCAGATTTGGATTTTGACCTTCTTCCACTCTTCTTGGGCGATTTGGACCTCTTTTTCCCAGGTAGTGGCGAGTGTGACTTTGACCGGTGCCTTCGTGACAACGAGCGGGATTTGGAGCGTTTACCAAACCTTGGTGGAGAACGACTTCTCCTGGCAGGGGTCCGAGAACGCCTTCTGACTGGCGACCTGGATTTAGACCGTCGTCGAGAGGGAGGGGTTCTAGATTTGGTCCGTTTGCGAGGACTCCTGGATCTGGAGCGACGGGTGCGCTTTAGGACGACAATGGAACGTGATCGAGTTCGCCTGCTCCTGCGGATCGACCGGGAGCGTGAACGGCGGGATCTGGGGGGTGGTGACCTCCTACGTCGAGACAAGGACCGACTCCTGGAACGTCTGCCTCCTGCGCGTCTTGCCGGTGTCCGCGACCTGGAGCGACGAACAGGACGTCTGGATCTAGAGCTGGAGCGACGGGTTCTAGTGACGGAGCGTGACCGCGAACGTCTGCCAACTGCACCACCTCGTCTGGGTGAGCGGGTCCTGGAGCGTCTTGTGCCTCCACGGGAACGTGACTCTGACCTTCGACTTCTCCTTGGAGACCGCGACAGAGAGGGGGATCTGCGACCACCACGTTTAGGGGATCGTGACACCTTTCTTTTAGGAGAGAGGGAACTCCGGCGTCGCTTTGGGGAAATAGACAAGGAATTTCTCCGCCGTTTAGGAGATTTGGACTTCTTTGGAGACCTTGTCACCTTCTTCTTGGGGGTGAGGGAGCGAGAGGTGGACCGGGACTGACACCTACCTCTCTTGGGAGATTTGGGCGACAGGGATAGCAACTTCTTCCTAGGTTTAGGAGACTGAGAGCGGGACAGCTGTCGACTCTTTAGAGGCGTTGCAGAGCGTTTTCCCTTTGAGGTTGACCTGGAATGGGTTCTTGACCGTTCTTTCATTGCTGTTTGACCACCAGACTGCTCCCTACTGGGACTAGGTGTTGGAGACTGACTATGACTTGAACCAGACCTCTTAATGTCTAGGCCCCTGGAAGGGGAAGGAGACCTGGACCTGGATGTATCGCGTTCCTTGATCTTTGCCCTCTGAACTGAATTGGCCTGATCTTTCAGGCCTGGGTCATCTCTTGGGGTAGCACCTTCCTGTTTAGGGATGATGTCAGGCAGTTCGTGGGCATGGCTGAATGCACCATCTCCATGACCACCCTCTGTCTTAACCCTAACTGTTGTTGTCTGTGTCATCTCATCCAGGCCTGCAGAGGGTGACCTCATACCCTTCTCTGATCCATTGGTGTTATTGCCCTTCCCTTCCATTGAGGACACATCCATATTTGAAATCTCCTCTTTCTTCACTCCAAGCAATGCAGGTTTCTGCATGAGGATGGGAACCCCCTTCTCCTCCCCTCGTTTGCTTTTTGAACCCTGTTTAGATACTGGTTCTTGCAAGTCAGATGCTCCAGCTGGCGAGTATTTGCCATCACCAGCTCCTTTACCTCCTTCACCTTCAGACTCAGAACCTGAAGCTGAGCTGCTTTCAGATGGGGATCGAGATGGGGATTTCTTTTCCTGCTTTTCCTGCTTTTCATCTTTCTTCCTCTTCTTTTTCTTCTTCTTGGCTGCATGTCTTTTGTGTTTTTTGGATTTTGCATCTCCCTCTGTGTCCACACGATCTGAGAGGAGAAATAATGATTTAAAAAAAAAAAAAAAAAAAAATTCAAACAAATAACAGGGTAATTAACCCCTTACTTTCTGAGGAAAATGAATTATGTTTGTGTGTGAGGATCCCGTACCTGTAATTACATCCCTTTTACCTTCCTCTTTCAGCCCAGCATGGTCTCCACCTCCAGCAGCTGCTGCCAGTCTGGCACTATGAACACAAGGAGGCATTTATTTACAAAATGTCCTTATTTCTGTAAAACTGAAGTTTCCAAAACAAAACAAGTTGCCACCTTTTCAATTTTGGTAAGGTGCAGAATCTTGTTTAGGTAAGCATAAAACTCCACTCAGCTGAACTTTTCTTAAGAAAAACCCCAGATAATATGGGATAAAACTTTTTTAAAACCATATTATAGACAATTACATCTCTGTCAACATGTAGCTTGGTGCCTGTTTCACCCCACATTTCTACTCCAATTTGTTAATGTTTTCTGTATGTAAATACATCAAGATTCCCCAGAAATGTATCCACTGCTATTGTTGAAAAAACACAGAAATGCATCATGTAATGGGGGTTTATGTTCAAAACTCATGAGCACAGCTCAAATATGAAATTCTGACTAAGAATAGACTAGAAACCATTGATGCAAAAATGTGTTTACTTTATCTCACTTAGATAAATTGAATCTCATAAAATGGGAAGAGGATGCTTAATTTTAGCCACGTTTCAACCAAAAAGTAACTTTTATCCAGGGACTTTTCTTCAAGAACTAAAAGGTTCCTGTGGTCCATTGTTGTCTGCATTTCCACCTCACCTAAAGTCCAGGGAAGATTATGCAAATCAATCACGACGTATGGAAAAGCAATGGAAATGCACTACACCTCCAGTCCAGTATATCAAATACGGGACCATCCTGTATTATACGAGATGATCCCGTACAATACGGGGTGGCAACCCTAGCCACTCCAGTTGTTGTGGTCATTTATTTTTTTGTGGTCCCGTTTGATTTTTTTTTACCTTCTCTCGGACCTGTCTCGCAGTGTGGAAAATAATGTTGAGCTCACCTGGTGCTCACTTGGTGCTGCAGGCTTTTAAACATGGCGGGTGAAATAAAATGCAGTGAGTACTCGACCAGTCAGAAATGTTGATCACTGCAGACCACACCCCCCAAAGTTCCTGAACCTTTGGAAAACACTACCCCCCAACCAGGGACTTTTTGAGGGGTCCATCAATTACCCCCGAACTAAATTTAAACCCTGGTTACTGCGGTTGAAACGGGCATAGTTCCTCAAAAGGTTCCTGGGAAAAGTTCCTGCAGTGGAAACGCAGCTTTTGACTGAATACACCTATCAAGTCTCAGACAATAGTAGGTTTACTTAAGGTATTTCAATTTTTAGAGCTTTCCATACCTGGCTCTGGTGGTTCGGACAGGTCTCGGTGGGGGTGGTGGTTCTACATCGGACTCTGCGCCAGATTCGGAACTGCTCTCCTTTTCCCCCTTCCTCCTCCTCTTTTTCTTCTTGCTCTTGTGTTTTCTGTGCTTCTTGTTTTTCTTATGGGGTGGATCATTCACTTCCTTGGTATTCAAGTCATCTTTCTCTGGTGCCTCATCCTCACCTGCACAGGGCACCCAGTATTTCAGATTACACAAGTATTTGGCAAATGCATAACCTAGAGCAAGGTATTTCTTAAATTATCTGATTAGTGCTGCACTTTTACTGAATTTAAATTTTAAGGCTTGTGTTGATTATCACACACAGTTTAAGGTACACAGAGGGTAAGGTGATTCGATAACAAGCCATACCACAAGCTGGTATATTTGGGTGACTAAGGCTCAAAAGACGTAAACTCATCCAAGAGCATGCACACTGACATCCGTCCAACACAGAGTTTCTTGGAGATCAAAAATGGAGTTGGAGAGTTGTTTGGGGGAAAAAAGTCTAGCCAAGTAACATTCATGTGTTTTAAATAGTGACGGGACGATAATGGACTTTTATGATACAGTGGCATAAACTAAAAAGTTAAACCTGAAATTTTTGGGGAAACTACATTAGAAGAAACTAAATCAAAATCTAACTAGACAAAAATTTCAATGACGCAGATTTCTTTGTGTACTATCCATCACTCACCTGACGGGATGTCCACTGCACATTCCATTGTGCCGGTGCCGCTGACTTCGGAAAGTGGTCTCTTAATGTCACTCGTGTGCTGCTCCCTCAATCAAAACTAAGGCGGGAAACAGAGTAACTGTAACTCAAGCAACAAAGAATGCAGCACCAACAAATGAAGTAGTACATATTTCATAGCCATGCTACAACAAAATGTAAGTAACACCATCTTGGTTACATCAAGAAGTAGTAACATTTCACACAATGATATGTAAGGAAGGGTACTAAAGAACTTTATAAAACTGATATCCCTTTGGTCTGGAGCAAAACGCCTGGGCACCCATGGTTCTATCAGTGTTAATGACATTCATTTGTTTAATAGTTGACTGTCTGTCGTAATTTATATACATGTGGGGGACAAAATTAGAAACACCTCTCAGTATAACCAACAGTGCCACAAACTACAACCTCCAAAATGACTATGAAGCTGAATAAACACCTCTCTAAAACAGTTTAAAAACAAAAACATTAAAACCTCCATGAGGGCAGGAATTATTCCAAGTCAGTTGTATCAGACTGCTGCTGTAGAAGACGCCTCTGTGATTAAATGATGATTAAAACCAACAGTACAGTATAGAATTTCCTAAGAAAAAGATCCAAAGGCTCAGGATTTCCAATTTTTGCAGTAATGAGGTGAAAAAAATAAAAAACATAATACAATTAAAAGGCTGGACCATCAGTGTATTCCTCCTAATCCAATTTGTGTCCCTGGCAAACCAAGTCTCATCCAATCTCCATTTAAACAAAAGGTCATGTGATCAATACTGATATCAGAACACCTTCTGGCCATTGTGATATTTAAAAACTTGTTGTTGTCTCAACACAAGAACTTTTTTTTCTGGTTAAGAACAACCTGGCTGTTTGGTTGGCAAACCAAACTAGTGCATCTCTGAACACACAATAACCCCAGTGCTTACATAAACCTACAGAATGCTTTAGCTGACAAGATTACTGAGAGGATAACAGGGTGAGTGAGTGATTACTCTTTATTTTTGATTTTACAATATGTAAACACACTTAACATTTAGTTTGCAGTGCACAATTTAGAAAGATTAAAATAAGTAAACAAGAGGTGTATATGTAGAATGACTGCTAATAAATCAGATATCAGGGATAGAATAGCCTGCAAGCATCTAAAGCTGCTAAGGACAAAATACTTATCTAGTCAGAGGTGTAACAGACTCAAACATGGTATACCAGCACCTAAATATAGGAGCACTGGTAGTATAAGCCAATAACCATCTAGAACAAACAGGCCCCCTTCTAACCCAACAAAGGTTGCATTCCCAGCAATAACAACAGTGAGGTAGGATTGTTAATGCAAACAAAGTTATATATAAAGTATATACTCAAAAATCAGATTTTATTCGACTCTCTCAAAGACAACTTAGTGTAACAACATTTGTTTTACCGTTGGCACGAGCCCCTTTACATAAATAAAGATCTGGTTTGATTCATCTTTAAGACTTTTTTTGACCAAACCATGCGCTTTGCTGAAGAAAGCAACCCCTACAACCTTAAAGCTTAAACACGATCAACATTAGCCATGCCACCATACACACATAACGTGAGAAGTCCTGCTGTTTTCAAACACTGGCAATGAAGCCAGTCTAACACACACTTTAATCACCAAAAGCCTTCATGTGCTGAAACCATTACCCTACTTTACGCAATAATAACTTATCGGCAAACAACAATACTAAAATTGTAATACACCAACATTCGACGTTATGCGGCGTTTACCAACACATCTAATAAACATTGTTGCTTCAGTTAATGCTAAAGCTAACCATCAATGGTATGGCTGCCAGCATGTTATTTTAGATTTCATGTAACGTTAGTGAATTTAGCCCTTCTGTTCCCGATACATCATGTCACAATGATAAAATACACGAAAACGCAATTGTTTACATGTTGACCAGAAGCTATATGGATAACAGAGGCGAACTGAGAAAAAGTTTTAAGCAACAAGAGACAGTTCATTAAGACGTTAGATAACGCCAAACACTGTCGGGCCTGCACTGCCACAGCTAGCGTTAACATCCATTCACAGATCACTGTAGCGGACATTAGCTAGCTAACGACAGGTTAAGTCAATAAAACACTCACTCAGTGGTTTTTATAAAGCTGCTCTATTAAAGGCAAATTGTTCTGCACGCTTACCGGTTAGACAAAGTATAAGCTGTAAGAGCCAAACATGCTGCCTGCAGACCGCGGCCTCAGCAGCGTTTCACTGCCAACACGTTCAGCTAGGACACTACCGCTAAGCTAGGTTAGCACGCTCATTGCTATTTAACTAGCTAGTTCGCTAAGACACTTAGTTGCTACTTCTTTCACCAAAGCAGGTTCGTTGGCTCATCAAGGCTGTCTTTTCTTTAGCATATAATTACCCAGGTTGTATTCGATGACTGCAGATCCTGTACAGAAAATACCAGATGGCTGCCGACTTAGAATGTGCGGGACTAAACAACCGCTGAATATGCTAACCGTCAACGTTAGCCAACTAACTGGTCCGCCATGATGGGAAAAGGTATCCCAACATGCCATGCTGCGCAGTTTGAATGGCGGCGTCACGGTCTCCTAGGAAACTCCACTACATGGTAGCAAACCGAGGCAAACTTCAGGATTGTGTTATATGAGCAATGGCTGATCAGCTTTAATTCTTGTTGTTGTCTTGGTGAACATTATCCTATTTATTTTTTCATGCAGTGTACGATGTCAAAAAAGCTCATCGTGCCTGTACATATAAGCATGTACAATGAATGTATATGTATCTTGTATTTTTTACTCTGCCTTGTTCACTTAACTTGAATTCAGACTCAGAGCTTTTGTTGCACTCAGCTTTTTGATGCACACATTTATTTCGATTTTTCTCTGAGAGAAAAAACATTTTCACATTCAGCTACATTTTTATAGTTGAAATATAAACATTAACCTGACCTTGAACTATTTGACAGCATATTCATTTGTATGAATAAGTGGGAGAAAAGAATATCTGAAAAATATTAACAGCCCCGGCTGTTTGAAAGCTGCTGCCTAATAGCCACACATACTGTATAACAACAAAATGATGTATGCACAAGTGAATGCCTATTTCTGTTCTCTCTTTTACCTTCTGTGGTTTTACTTTTCATTTTAACTGCAGTGGATAGAATCACATCTATTAGTACCAATCACCAACACAGTTTACAAACTTTCAACATAAGCTGTATGCATTACTAATTCTGAACCAGGTGGCATTCTTTTTTCTTTTTTTTGGTCTTTTCTTCGAGTGATCACAGTTGAAGAGTTTAAAAGTTACACATTATAGTGGTATTAAAGTCCCATGTTACAGAAAATGTGCACATCTAAACAATATTCTGTATTGTTAATATATTTGCTTTAATATCTGTTTTGAACTTCAAATACATTAGTAGGTCTTTTAACTGAGACACAGACCGTATAATGGTTTTTCAGCATTATTTCTTGTAAAAACTTATTAAGATTTTTTGGGGAGAAATTTACTCTGAAGTTTGGAAGGTTGCATGGATTATGCATTTTTTCTGTCATATAAAACCAATCATTCATCAAGTCATCAGTCATTAAGATCAGAGAGAGGATCATCAACTCTGACCCCCCCTCCATTGACACACAACACATAACACGGCGGGAGAGAAGTGCACTGCATCTTCAGTGACCGACAGCTTACACTCAGTTCAGGTGTGAAGAGCTTCTACATCAGTTTTTTTCCAGCCACTGTCAGACTAATTGTAAAGGACATTCTGCCTGGAAGGAAATACCACATCCCCCCACCTCATTCAAACCATTGACTCCAAAACACACACACACACACACACACACACACACACACACACACACACCATAATTTTACTATTGTTCTTATAAAACTCGATATTTATCTATAGTTTGTATTTCTTTTGTGCAATAGTTTTTATTATTTCTCTATTATAAACTCAGTATATATATATATATATATGTATAGTGAATATTTTTCAATTTTCCAATGTACCTGTGCTGTCCTGTACCTATGCAAATGAAAAATAAATCTAATTTGAATCTTATTTCTGGATGATTCCATAGACTGTAGACATGCCTGGAGGCAAGTTCTCTATTCAGTTCACATTCGTGGAGAAGGTGCTTTTACTCTGAAGGATAAGCGCCGGAAGTGTTACTGTTGCTCTGTCTGTGAGCTGCTCTCAGGGCTAGACGATAGCGAGAAGTGTTACTAGTCAGTGAAATGTTTTTAGTTGAAACGTCTTTAGTAGTTGAGTGACATGAAGAAGAGGTTTAACATTGACCTGGACGATTCTGCTTTCACCAAAGAAAGAACACCGGTCGGTATTTTGCAGAATTTAACGCTAACTTCTTACGGCTAGGAATTAGCTAGCTAACTAACACTATCTTCCTAGCGGGAAACTACAATTTTCAAAATTTTGCTTACGAAATAGCTTACCAACTTACCAACAACGTAAACGTGAGTAGCTGTTCTACATGATTTCATTAATTATTATCGATTCTCAGACAAGCTGTTGGTGTAATTGTATTACAGCCAAAGCCGCGGTTTCTGTCTTCATCCAAAGCGGGACAAACCACATCAGCCTCATCTGCATCCTCAGCAGCAGGGTCAGTGGACCAGCTCCTGTCTTATGCAGAATACGTCGTCCAGAGTAAAAGCAATGTGGCTGCTGCTCCTCAGAGAGAGGCTGCCCTCAAACTCCCCAGGACTGAAGGTGATGGAGTTACCAGTCTGAAACAAACTGAATGTGGTTCAGTATCGTCTGCCACCGGAAGATGTGCAACAGTTCAGGACTGCGCTAAGGGGAATGAAGGTGGATCTGAAGGGGTTCAGAAGAAAGAGGAGGAACGGGTGGCTGGCACAGACCAAGAAGAGGCTAACTGTCAAAGGTCAGATGCAAGACCGTGCCTGGGTCCTAAAACGGTGGGGTCAGGGAGCAGCATTGTTGTCAGTCCTCGACAGGTACTGTATGCCCCAGAATGTATGTTTATTCTACATACCTGCTTATTTCAAGTCAGGGACATATTAGAAGGTAATTTAGTTTTTAGTTACTTCCCATGGAGGGTCAGACACTTATGTTGTATCTGGAAATAAACGAAAGTGTTTTCAGGTTTGTTATTTGGTTTGCACAGTGGTAGGTATCACATCACGTTTGTTTTTACTTATTCAGAGGGGAAATCCCATTCTGAAGTTTGTGAGGAGTGTCCCATGGGAATTTGGAGATGTTGTACCAGACTATGTGTTGGGACAGACAACGTGTGCTCTCTTCCTCAGGTGGGTTTTTGTGCCTTTTAAAATAGTGTGTTAACGTGTGTGAGCTCACGAAGAGGTGTTTGCATGTGAACACAGAGGAGTTAACAGTTTGTATTAATATTTGATTTGCAAACATGCTTAAGAAACATTTTTCATTCGTTTTTCTCTTTGTATGTTTTGTTTTGTTTTAATGTTGGATTTTGGGCCTGGCTCCAAGTCTGAGGTATCACAACCTCAACCCAAATTATATCCACGACCGTTTGAAGCAGCTTGGACAGACTTTCACTCTGCGAGTGTTACTTGTTCAGGTAGATGTGGTAAGTAAAAAGTGTTTTGCAACACTAACCTTGACATTGACAAGTTATATTATTTCACTCAACATTGATAAAAGTGCTATGTTTTACAAACAGTAATATTCTAATTCCTTATTTTAATTCCTTATTCTGGTTGTTGGTATTCATGAAACTTAGCCTTTTTTACTATTATGTAGATCAAGACATGTTTTAATTCATTGGTTGCTGCATATCAAATCTGTTAATTCTGACATTTTGCCAGTTATAACAGTGATAAATTAAAAAGCTCAAATTATAAAAAATTATAATTGAATTTTGTGTTGTTATTCCTCTACTATAGTGCTTTGTCTGATGGGCAGTGATGCTTTCCACAACACTAAGTTGAACATTCAGCAATGTTATTTTTTACTAAATGGAACCGCCTCTACAAAACACAAAAGCATTAAAATGAACGAATTGACAAATATTTTGTATACATACTGTATAGAAAAACAGTTTTTCAGGATATCTCTATTTGCAGCAAATCTACAGCTCCATGTTCCATTTTTAAAGCTTTAAGAATTAATGTAGTTTTTCTCACTGACATTGGTTTTCCTAACAGAAAGATCCTCATCATGCATTGAAGGAGCTGGCTCGCATCTGCATCATGGCTGACTGCACACTCATCTTGGCTTGGAGGTAAGACCAGCAGCAGATTGCCAAGAAGACTCAACAGTTTGTTACAGGACGGACATAATAGAGATAGTGTACTATTTTAACTGTTTTAAATATGTAAACTTCTTTCATACTGCAGCAATCATTCTTGAAATATGTTGGTTTATTCTGGCCAGGAACAACAGGTGAAATAATGTCATGTTGTGCTTGGCAAATAAGCTATTAAAAAAAAAATTCCTAATGTTTTTGTTATGTTGATTTCACAGTCCAGAGGAAGCAGGGCGTTACCTAGAAACTTATAAGTCGTATGAAAAGAAACCCGCAGACCTACTGAAGGAGCAAGTTGAAAAAAACTATCTGTCAAAGGTTGGTAGATTCATCCTTTTCTATTTTTAATATGATAATTTCTCCAATTTGGAAAATTATGCAAGACATTTCAGTGTGACCAATTTAAGATGATGCAGTAAGAGGAAAATAATCTGCCAAAGTCTTGCAGTGTGTTTCAGTCTTGGAACAATGCTATGCTGATTGGATTTTGATGTTTCTTTTTTTAAGGTTACAGACTGTCTAACCACAGTAAAGTCTATAAACAAGACTGATGCCATTACCTTGCTGTCCACTTTCTCGGTGAGTAGTTTCATTCTACTTAGTTTCATTTAGTGATGTTCTCATATTGTCAGAGGGAATGATGTGGTCAATACATCGAGATGATTACTTTTTATTTATTTTTTTATTTTACAGTCTATAGAGGGAATCATCAGTGCATCTAAGGAGGACCTGGTTCTCTGTCCAGGGCTTGGACCACAAAAAGTATGTAAAAATACCCATGCAGGTTATGAATATACAGAGCGTAGATGGAACATTTGTTGAATTACTATGTTGACCATTTGTGCACACAGGCGAGACGACTCTACGATGTTCTGCACAAGCCCTTCCTCAAGTCGAAAACAGAAGACAACTGAAACATCTGACCAATGATGTGTGACATGCCTCTGAAAAGAACTTGAACAGACACACACAAGGACTATACTACAAACATTCTTTCTATACTGAGTCAAAGAAAGAAATGTGTAACATGTGACAGCTCTCAGACTGAGAATCAGCTGGTATTGTTTTAAGGATTTAAGACGTGGACTTTTCAAGTGTTTGAGCTGTACACTGATGAGATTTTTTTTTTGAGTTATGGAGTGATATCATTTGTTTATTGTTGCATTATGTTGTTATAAAATAAATATTTTGTACTATTTATATATTGTCTAATGTGCCTTCATTCTTGCTTGATTTATTTAATTTGCTCAACACAAAACAACCGGAATGCTAAAATATCTTGTTTGTGTACAAAAACAAGGGATATTTTTAAAAAAGAGATATTATTTAAATGCATGAAACTTTAACATTGAAATTGAGTATTTTGATGAGCAAGAGAGAGGATGGGAGGGGCTGGATATCTTACCTTGGGCTGAAACATAAATGATGAAAATAACATCTTGATTTCTGGTCTATTGTATATTAACTCAAGTATATAATTGTATTTGAACAACAACTGACAAACCCATTTGAATATATAGAACAGCAGTAAGGTTACTCAAAAATGAGTAATATGTATTACCTTAAATTTATTCCTATATGATGAATAACAGTGGAACCAAAAAGTTTTAATTAAAAGCGATTCCTCTAGTCCAGAGCACGGTGTTGCGTTTAGGTGCTCCTCCGAAATTCCTGCTTCCAAATTCGGAAAGTCAACTTGAAACAACTTTACTTTGAATACTTTAATGATAAAATAAGAAATAGCCTTTAATTACCAAGTAAACACGACGAAATTACTATGGTGAAGAGCCAACTTCATAACGTGCACGATTTCCCAAACTACAAAATGATTGACTTGTATCAAACTTAAGTGGGATGTCACATAAAAGAAACACAATGAACAGAAAATATTAACCATACAACATATAGCATAATTGCCATTCATTACTGGCGTCATCTCCACCGCGCAGAGAAACTACCCAGCCACGTTTGTATTATCCGACGGCAATGAAGGCACAGTAACTTATTCTGACGTCAAAACAGGAAGTGTGTATCCACGCCAGCTGAAGTGTGATGTTTTCACCGCTCATTTCATACTTTAACCTACAGTGTTTTATCTCGTGAAAAGGTTTGAATTGTTTCTTAAAGGAAAACAAACCGCCATCAGACATGCAGACAGAGAAAGAGGATGAGGACGATGCATCGCCTGAGGAGTGCTTTGCTCGGTCCGATTTCACTGGAGGTGGCAGCGACCAGGTGAGAGACCCACACAGACCTCCGGCAGCATAATAACTGCACTCTCAACACCAGAAAGGTTAAAGTTGGGGCATTAGCACTAAATGTGTCGCTTTTGTCCCGCAGCTTAGTTTCAGCAGCGGGGACAAACTGCTTGTGCACGCCAAGCCTTCATCAGACTGGTGGTGGGCAGAGCTGCGGGGGGTCAGAGGTTATGTCCCTGCCAGCTACTTGCGCACGGGTGCTGCTGGGGAGGAGGAGCAGGAGGAGGAGGAGGAGGTGGAGGTGGACGACGACGACACCTCCCTGGAGGATCCATGGCAGGATGAAGAATACTTTGGCAGTTATGGGACACTGGTCAGAAACTTTAAATGCCCATCATATCCCGTGCATGTCTCATTGTAATTATCAAAAAGTTGCACATAGTGACAATTGTAAGCATACCATACGATTTTAGGCTGATTTGCAGCCCTCCAGGCAGCCATGCGTTTCACAGTGGTAGTTATAAAAATCAACATGCAGAGACCTGAATCTCACTAGAGTCAGGTAAACTGTCACAATCAAACATCATCTTTTCTTTTTGTCAAATATTATCTTTGAAATCTAATGAAGCTGCTAAAAGGCACTGTTCTTTGGTGGTGTGTTTAAGGACAACTTCAGAGATTTCAGAGAGCTGCAGAAATGCATTACATTAACAAGGCACATGTACATGTTTGAAACCTTTTCATGTCAGCCTTTCATTGAATGTACCTCTCAGAAAGACACATTGAAACAGAACCGTATTATTACAGTAAGTAAATTGCTGATTGTTTATTTGGATCCTTATTAGTTGTTATATTGGCAACAACTATGTTCTTGGGGCAAAAAAATAAAGCTGTGATGAATTGTCTCTCAACAAAGTTTTCATGTGTCAGAATAGTGATTTTCATCCTAACAATGCCTGCGAGGAAGGTAGGAAATTAAACAAAAAACTTAAGGTATGCTATGAAAAATATTTGTCAGTTATTGTAAAGTATGAACAATTCATGAGTTATTGGTCAGAAATTATGAAGACTGAAAAACCATGAAACATTACATTAATAACAATATCAGGTCAAGTCAATTTTTGTTTAATTAGCACCAAATCACAACAGAAGTTATCTCAAGGCACTTTGTAAATAGGGCAGGTCTAGACCAGTCTCTTTATAATATTGATTACAGAGATCCAACAATTCCTACCATGAGCAAGCACTTGGCGACAGTGGACGCTAAAAAGTTCCTTTTAAGAGGCAGAAACCTTGAGCAGAACTAGACTGAGGGTTAAGCCATCTGACTCAACCAGTTGGGTACATGAATAAATTCAGGGAAAATAGTGAATATTATAACCATGAAAATATTTTTTTTCATTTAATTATGTGATTCTTTACATAGGTTTATATTTCTGTCTGTTTTGATTTCTCAGCACCTTTTTCCCCAATAACCATTCTTATTTCATAATGCAACCTTTCATCATACAGTGTTTGTCTGTCAGTCGAGAGGAAGCGTGCACAGACATAGTTATATGACTGGTCGTTGGTTTGTTCTGAATGAGCAGACCCCAAATCACAGTTGAGTTTAAAACCATTTTTGTATTATTTAAAAAAATTAATGTTGATATATTTTGTCTGTTTATATTTGTAATTATCTTCATTTCAAAATATCATCTTTATTAATATTTAAGACTTTGGATCCCTACAAAAAAGAACATGCAAATGATATTACGAAAATATGTGTATTGACTTGTTGCATATTGAAATGGTAAACTATTGTTTTGTCACCTCAACAAATAATATCACTTTTTGTTTGTTTTATTTCATTTTGTCTAATGACGCAGAGGCTTCACTTGGAGATGTTGTCAGACAAGAGTCGCACTGAGGCGTACCGGCAGGTCATTCGCAGCAACAGTGCTTCCCTGAGGAATAAGGTGGTGATGGACCTCGGCTGTGGGACTGGCATCATCAGTCTGTTCTGCGCTCAGCTGGCACAACCTTCAGTGGTAATGTCAACAGTATGACTGCTTGGGATGTTACTCTCTCTCACACACACACACACACACACACACACACACACACACACACACACACACACACACACACACACACACACACACAGGTGGCAGGTGAGTAGTAGGGGCAGTCAGCTGTGGGCTGAGGTTAACTTTTTCCAAACATAAAAAATCAACTAGAACTTTCTACCTGTGCATCTACCACAAGTGTATACATGGTCACAGGTGATAAGGTGTGTTTTAGTGTAAGCTTCTGTCTGTGTACTCCCTTTGTAGTTGTTTGATTAATTTCACAACAAGAAATGTTAACAGTCACTTCAAACACAGCCTCTGGCCCCTTGACCCCTTGGGGTCCTGGGGTCCTGCCCAGTTGGCCCATTCAGTAATCTGTCCATACAAGTATAAATTACCACCCACATATCATGAAAATGTGCATAAGTCAACCAATCTATGTTTAAAAATAACGGATAGTGTTCTAAAATGTTTAGATATAATAGACAGGAGATCCAGAGAAACATGGTAAATCAGTGAAACAGAATCTCTGCATAATATACCAAATTATCCAGTTTACTCATAGTTATAACGCATATTGAACAGTAGTGAACCTATACTTCCATCTGCTGGACAAGGAGTGTTGCTACAAGACATCATGGTGTATAAGGTGTGTAAGTGAACCTGTGGTATTGTAGGTGTATGCTGTGGAGGCGAGCTCCATGGCGGATTACACCAGGCAGCTGGTGAAGCAGAACGAATGTGAGGAAGTGGTTACGGTGCTCCAGGGGCGAGCTGAGGAGATCGAGCTACCTGAGCAGGTGGACGTCCTGGTGTCTGAGTGGATGGGTAACTGCCTGCTGGTAATCACGACACTGCTGATACTTTTACATCCAATAACAAGTTACTGTGTCAAGATTTTTTTTGCATTCTGATTGCTTTATGTGAGAATCATTACTGCATCCCATCATTGCTCTTTGAATATACTGCACTGTGTTTCTTTGTCCCTCTGGTCTAGTTTGAGTTCATGGTGGAGTCAGTCCTACTGGCCCGGGACCGCTGGCTGAGGGAAGGTGGCGTAATGTGGCCCTCTTCTGCAGCCCTCGCCCTTGTGCCATGTCAGGCTGACACCTATTACGCAGAGAAAATGGCCTTCTGGGAGAGACCCTATGGCCTGGACTTCACCCCTCTTCAGTAAGGGCCACTAGTCAGCTGATTTCAGTAAACATTTTCCTGCTTCACTCATATTTTTTTGTACAACTAAGAACTGAAACATAAAAGTTGTGACTATGCTTTTCTAAATTGGCAAGATAATCTATTGATAATCATTGATTCAAATCAGCTCTTCATGTAGGTTCATAATATATGCTCCTCACCAATACTCCTAATCCAGTACAGACTACATTACACGTGTTAAAATTTACTTTGGTATAAACTCATAGAAATCTATAAATGTTTAAAATCTATTGCTTTGTTATCTAATGCGAGCTAAAATACTATTTGTCCTTTTCCTAGCTGAGTCATATTAGATATTGTCTGCAGCAGCAACCAATTTTCCCCTTGGTGCTGAATAACATTTCATCTCTGCAGGCCTTTGGCACAGCAGGAGTTCTTCACCAAACCCAAGTTCAGCCACCTCATTGAGCCCAGTGACTGCCTCAGCGCTCCCTGTGATGTCATCTACCTGGACATGTACACTCTGCAAGTCAAAGACCTGGAGGTACTGTGTGTGAGCCATTATTAAAAACTGCTCCAGCCCTTACACATTAGATTTTTATAACTAAGAGAATGCGATTTCATTTCTCAGGAAATAAAGGGTCAATTTCATTTCTGTGTGGAGAAGTCTGGTGTTTTCCACGGATTCACTGCCTGGTTCACTGTTCATTTCGAGAGCCTGGAGACAGGAGGTGCAACAGTGGAGCTGAACACCGGACCTAACTCTGAGTACAAAACATAAAACACAATACTAATTCACTCTGCTGTGCGGTTGGAACATGATGAAGGATGGTTTATTCACTAACAACCTTACTACAATTTTAACAGCCAAGACACATAATTCATATAATCAAAATTAGTGAGTGGTAAACATACAAATACTTTGGATTTTATAACCACTGTCTACTTCTCTGAGTGTTATAGGCTGCAGATACTATATTATCTACTATTCTATATTAATATTAAGTCTTTTCTCTTCAGGCCGACACACTGGAAGCAAACTCTGTTCATGCTCGACAGGCCGGTCAGTGTGTATGCAGGAGACTCGATCAGTGGAACCATTGTCCTGCGCAGGAACCCCGTCTGGAGACGCCACATGACCGTTACACTGCACTGGAACATTAACAGCACCACAGAGGAAACAGACAACTGCCAGGCAAACATCAAATCTGTGAGTGATGCATTGACTATAATCCATAAAGTGATGGGAGATTGTTTTATTAATTGTCATAGCACTGTTGTTGCATTTTTTTCTATGCAATGTGACTCAGTTATGTACACTAGCTTTCCAAGAGTCCTAATTTTATCTTTTGTATCCTTGGAGTTGTTCACTTGTGTTTTTTTCTGTCTGTGTCCATAGGTCGGGACAAAGAGTTTCCCCATGTGGAGGTGACAGACCCTCACTGTGTCCATCAGCGGTGGAGATCCACAGAAAACCACTCTAATGCAACCTCTGTCAAGTTTAGCATCAGTGAGGGATCAGCTGTGAGCTGCTGCTGACCTGTAATGGAGTGTGTCATTCATATTACAATGAACGTGACGATCCCTCATCTGGGAGGATATGTACTCGTATTGTGGTACGCCGGTTAACTACAGGCCCAGGTGATTCAACAAACCATGATTAATGTAGTACGAGCAGGTTAGCAGGAAAGAATTGACATGCTTAATATGAACTGTGGAGCACTACTTTAACTTCAACTTAAACACTTATTGGGCTCAGTGGGGAAAATAGGTTTTATAGACGACAGTGTTGTGACGACAATGCTTAACAACTGAAACAAAACATGTTTAAACAGATATTTGTGCTCTCAGGTGCAACAAAAGAATTGTTTAAGTCCACCACACTATGTTTTAGTGTTTATTTTTATTCTATGTGCATATTGTTCCACAATAGACATTTAGTTTGCATTGTCTGTAATTTGTATGAGTGCTATACATGCCAATAGACTTATGGATTTAAGAAAACAACAATTTAACCATGAAGTACAATGGTTAGAGATATCATATTCTTTTCTATATTAAGATTAGAGTGAGCATCGTATGTCACTGAAATGTTGCTGTTACAAATATCAATTAGCCTTAGGAGCTAATTATAGCTAAGTATACATTAAAAACAATAATTTACAATAATGAATTGTCCACAATAAAATTAATTATTCCAAATAAAATAACTGTACAATTAGTAAACTCACATTGCTATGTTTGGGGGACATGACACTACTGTCCTGCATTTGTTATTATGTGCAGTAGCAGAACTGTCATAACACATTTCTTAATTAAAGACCATTTTTATGTCAGTGGATGCACCCTTCTTGGTCATTGCTCTGTTTTACTCTTTGCTTTTGATCTGGAGCGCGTGTTGACCTCTGAGGATAAAGGCTGAGCAGCTATGGATTCAGGGGAAGGAGGCCTGGAGAGTGGAACAAACAGGGGAGGTTTAACAACTTTTACTTTAACCTCCTTGCTTTTATCCTTTTTCTGCCTCAAGTGTTTATCACAGTGGTTAACAAACGTGTCCAGCTTGACAAAGGTCTTGTTGCACACTTTGCAGTGATAAGGTCGCTGTCCTTTCTTGAGGCGTATGTGCAGCCTGATGTACGATGATCGAACAAAGGTGCGGCAGCAGACACCACACTTCAGATCCTCTGGGCTACCTTGTGTTGTCTGGGGCTGGTTTAGTGCTGGAGCAGACACCGGTTTGGCCTGTCCAGAGGATTCTGCAGCTTTGTGAGAGAGCAGGAGTGGCAAAGAGCGAAAACCCTCCCCACACTGCTCACACTTGTATGGCTGCTCCCCTGTGTGTAGACGAACGTGTGCCAGGAGCCCAGCCTTCTGGGTGAACGACTTGTCACAGTAGGTGCACTTGAAGGGCTTCTCGCCTGTGTGGAGCCGGCGGTGGGTCTTCAGATGAGAGGCACGGCCGAACGTCTTACCACACTCGGGGCATTTAAATGGCCTGTCCCCACTGTGGATTATCTTGTGTGCCATCAGGTGGGCGGACTGATGAAAGTACTTGCCACAAGTGCTGCATCTGAACTTCCTCTCCTTGTTGTGAGAGGTGAGGTGAAGGGTCAGGTGGGCAGAGGAGATGAAGGTTTTATTGCACAGGCTGCAGCTGTGAGGGTCCAGGCGTATGCGCCGGTGTGGCCGTCGACCATTAGGGAGGCTGCTGCCCGCCTGGCAGGAGGGACATTTGGAGGGAGTGTCTGCTTTGAGCACACACTGCTGTTTAGGAGGGGAAGAGTCGCTGGCTTGATCAGGGTCAGGGTCAGGGTCAGGCTGTGGTAGGCTGAAACTGCACCCACAGTCTGAGCAGTGCCCAGTCTGCTGGCCTTTATCACTGGCTTTATCCAGCGTGGTGCTATCTACAACCATAGTGACAGAGCAGGGGTTTTCATTCTTTGGCACATCACAGAGACATCTGAAAGTGATAAAACATAATGTTTGTTATACTTAACAGTGATGTAGCTGAGGGTAGACATGCACAGTACAAAGCATATCCATGTCCACCTCTGCCTATTAGCCTATCAGCTTTATTACTGTCACAATAAAGGCTAAGTCGCAGAATATCTCGTTTATGACACCGTGCAGTATCCAGTGCACAGCAGTACTGTATCAACACTCCTCTGATCGCGTTGGTTGTTGAACTGACCAAACAGACAAACCTTAGTCGACATGCAAATCTGAAAATCCAGATACACACAACCTTTGCACAGCAGCCACTCAGCTGTATTGTAGGCCTTGCTCCGCCCTAAACAATGAGGTTATTCAATGACGCGATTAACAGCAGATAAATAAATCACGTACATACCGTGCTCATTCTTATCAAGAAAGTGTGGGCTGTATCGAAACAACTATCACACAAGAACAGTTTCAACGTCACAATAACAGAACCAGAAGACAACGGGAGGGATTCATGTCCTGCGCTTTCCTGCGAGCGGCTGCCCGGTGTTGTGATACAAAGAGGCTGCAGCATCATCTAGCGAGCGGCGGAATAACTGTCAACACGTTTCCACGTAGAGCCAGAAAACTGAAGACAAACACACAACATTCACACTAAGCTGAATTATCCCTGACAAAGTATTGTTATGTTGCACATTTTCGTGGTTAAACTTGTTGTAGTGCTGCTTACTCCTCCAGGGACATGGACTTCCTGTCAAATTCGAATAGTTTCGTTTCATCGGGGTATGAAGAAGAAATGGTCGGAACAAATTGCATGTTTTTTGCCAACTTGAGTTTCGTTTCGCACGAAGTAGCAGCTCGTTTTAGGGGGAAATGAAAGACAAGAAAAAAGCAATGTGAAAAGAAACGACGTGCCATGTAGGGGTTGGACATCGCCGGCCTTTAAATACAGCAGAACTGATTTAGCATTTATTTCCTTGAACTTGACAACAGCAGAACTGATGTGACTGATGTTTGGACTAACATGACTGAGGTACTGTGTTTTTTACTAATGCAAAATGAACCAAGTTTACACTACTTAGGCTATTATGGGGGGTGCTTGTATAATATTATGGACATATTGTGGAAATATATAAGAACATATATTAATGCGGCAGAGACGTGGAAATTAATGCATGACATTTAATGAAAAAAAAAAGTCAAATTCCTTGATTTAATTTCCAGAAACTTATTTTTGCATTAATACTTATATAATTAATTATTTATTCTTATACTGTCTTCTTCATCTCTGTATTTATTTATTTATTTATTTATTCTATTGCTTGTTTATTCCTGCATTTATATTGTCTATGGTGTTAAACATTACTCATTTCTGCCCAGGGAGGCGTTAGAGATTTTTTTAATACAGTATGCTCACACAATTCGACTGCTATACTACCGACACACCGCGCCCGTTTCAGAGTAGCTGGTCATCTTAGTGAAGCCTAAATAAAGGTAGGCTACAGTAAATTAATGTTGACTATATGACCCATGCACCTGCTTGCATGCCAGGGTGGTATATTGTGGATTAAAAAAAAAGTGCTTTCATTAACCAGGTGATTCATACAACTTAAAACAGTACAACATTTTAGCTGACTGGAGAGGCCTAAACACAGCTAATGACTCATCAAAATGATCTGGATATGAAACCAGGAAGACCTGTGTCAGGGTTTTGTTTTCCAGGAAGCACCAGAAAACTTGCTTTGTAATCTTCAACTTCCTGCTAAAAGTTAATGACAATGAAGCAGTCAGACTCATGTACAGTAAACAATAATGCCTGATAATATATGTTTTTTTAGGTTTGTAAAGCTGTTAGGGACCAAGCATTCAAAGGACAGGCAGGCACAGCACAGGTTTAATTACACACTTTACTTAATAATTTACTACCAAAGACTGTGGTAATGATGTGAAAGAGTGCATGAAACTATGAAAGTGTCTTTTTGATTTGTATGAGTGGTGAGGATTTGTATTACCATAAACCTGTTTCAAATGTATGACTGTGGACAAACAACGCCTTAAAACAAATATTCAATGGTACTGAGGTGGTTTATATAAAAAAGTGTTCTGTTTGAAGTACTCAGGACTTTCAGCTTTGTGTTACCTCACAACGCCAATGTTTGAGTTTGATGTGGTGGCGCATTTCTTCACAATGCTCTGATTCTCTCACAGCATCCAACCCAGAAAGGATGAGCCTGAAGACAAAGAAAAATGCTCGGTGAGTTTCACCTGCAATGTACTGACTCATTACAGGAAGAGGCAGATCATATTCTTATTTTTCATTTTTAGGGAAATGAAAGAACATGCTTGAGTTACAAACACTGGTGTTCTTCAGAAATGATCGAAATCCTGTTGTCCTCAGCCACAGGACTATAGGCCTAGGCTGTCTATTACCTAGATATGTATAGATAATGTATAGTAAACCTTGCTGGTTGCTGTCGCAGATGGAGCTAATGTACATCACTTTACCAAGAGCAGACTCTTGCTGTAAATGTTAAATCTTACACTTTATAAACATGCCTGTACATGCTTACTGAGCACCACAGCAGTCTTAAATCATCAGAATTCACAATGGAAACTGGCATAGCATTGCCTCTTTAAAATTAAATCATTAGTATAACTAAGTAGACTAAGGAGAAGACTCATTCTTCTCTGGCCAAAAAAGAAATATGTGGCATCATCTGATTTTAGGTAAAGCACTTCAGGAAGCTAGAAAAGTTAATCAAACCCTAAGTGCTCACCCTGTGTGAATTTAAAATTTTAACTATTTAATCCTGCTGCTTTGTTTAGATCGTCCTTCGGGCAGTCGGCACCACCCTTCATTGACTACCTAAAAGATATTCTTCGTCGATATCCAGATGGTGGACAAATTTTGAAGGTTGGTACAGTGCTCATTTGTCAAATACTGGTTATAATGTATGACATTTCATATTTTCTAATTCATACATATAACCCACTAATTGCATTATTCTTTAGATCTTGCTTATACATACCTGGATTTTGGAAGTTTATTTATTTTGGTGTGACCAGCATGGCTGCTAGTATTAGAGACATAATGCCACACAATTCAAGCACTACAAACTACAGCCTCCACAACTACCATATTTGAATCAATACACTAAAACTGAACACTGATAACCCCCATAAACATAAGACTTTCATTTAGGTAAGAAAGTCCGGCTGCTTTGAGATGTTAGTCAGCTGGACAAATAAGACTCGTCACTGATGATAGATAACTGATTTACAGCTCTACACGTCCACACGTCCACATAGGAATCCTTGAGTGTTAGCTTTGGTCTGCTAAGCTCTGTTCATGGTTTTTATTTGTCAACAGGAGCTGATTCAAAATGCAGATGATGCTCGAGCCACAAAAGTGGTTTTCATCCATGATGAGAGAAGCTATGGGACCAACAGCCTTTGGACTGAGGAACTGGGAAAATACCAAGGTGTGTAGGGTGCTCGGAGAATAGCAATGTTTATCAACATCAGTCACAATGTATTATTCAACTGAAATACTGTATATATACACATTTTAAAAAATAAATAAATAAATAAATAAAAGTATACAGAGTGAATAGGGGGTAGCGCGATGACACAGCTTGTTAAAGTCCCTACTTTTTGGAGTTTGTATTTTCTGATTGTTTTCATGTCGTTTTCCATCCATAATCAAGGGTGATTGGTGAAAAAGGATGTATGCATAATGTTTTTTCTCATTTGTTATCTTGACTATAACAGTCAAGTCAGTCATGGCAACCCGACACAAGCTTGGTTCTTATGGTCACTTGATAAGATGGCATTATCAAGCTAAAGTTTCATTTACAGTAGACCATGGTTGAAATATTAGACCCCAATATTAATATAACATTACTAGAAGAAGTTTAAGTTTAAGTGCACCCATTTTAGTCAGTTTATAATATTGAGACCCTCTGGCGGGAATTGCTTACTGTCTGCTCATTATGTTTACAACTTCAGCCTTTTGCGCATTTTTACCTCACTCAGTTTATGCCGGGATGGACTTCAAAATAAGCAGTTAAGAGAGAGACCGGCAGGATATAATGAACAACACCTGGATGCATTAATCTAATGTCTTAAGCATGTTTTTTGGAACTTGCAAAGGTCCCGCTCTCTATGCCTACAACAATGCTACATTCACTGATGAAGACTGGAAAGGAATTCAGGAGGCTGGGAGGAGTGTCAAGCGCAATGACCCAAACAGAGTCGGGAGGTTTGGAATCGGCTTCAACTCTGTTTACCACACAACAGGTGAAACTATGTACAATTACCACACATATGCCTAATAGTGTGTTAAAGAATTAGTCTTTAGAAAACATATGTAATAAATTAACGGCAAAAATCTTTTTCATTTTATTCACAGATGTGCCGACCATATTCAGTGCAGGTCACCTTGGCTTGTTGGACCCCCAAGAAAACATATTTGGAGCAAGAAATCCAGGTTTTCTGTGGTCTTTGGCTGAAGCAGAAGACCAAGAAGCTCTGATGACCATGCGTGATCAGTTCCAACCGTTCCGAGATATAGTTTCGCTTGTAAGCGGACAAGAGTGGTCAAAAGTTGTCATGGACGATCAGAAATTTGATGGAACAATTTTCAGATTCCCTTTGCGCAATGAGCCGTCGGAAATTTCAGATAATCTATATGACTCTGCTAAAGTGGTCGAGCTGTTTGATAGCTTCATTGCAGATGCAGACTTAAGCCTCCTGTTCCTCAAAAATGTGACCTCTGTGTCATTGATACATATTGATGTACATGGCACTGTGAACCCCAGAGTTGAGGTGAAATCCTCATTCCCCACAGATGTCATTTTGGGGTCAGAAGACATGTCAATGATTGAGGGTCTGACAAAGTTCAAAGTAATTTCCCTCAACTCAGACACCCACAAAGAAACAAAGTGGCTTGTGTCAACATGCACCATGAAAGAAGGCAATGTAGAAAATCTTGATTCACTCGCAGAAAAGTTGAGCTTTTTCCCTCAAGTTGACTTGGCATTCCCTTGTAGCGAGAAGAGAGACTGTAGTGAGAGTAGATTGAGCTGCTTTCTCCCCCTCCCAAACAATGAATCCAACAAGACAGGACTCCCAGTTTATGTCAACGCATGCTTTGGTCTCACAGACAACAGACGACACATCAAGTGGCAAGAGGAAGACCAGAAACATGATGAACATGCTGTGTGGAACGAGCTGCTGATGAAGGAGGTGCTCCCACAGGCGTATCTCAAGATCATTCAAGATGCCATCAGTCTTGCCCAGCAGTCTATTCTCTCTGTCGCTTCCGTGTACGATCTGTGGCCAGATCTTGCTCAGGTACAGCACAAAGACAAATGGCATGCCGTTGCTCTGGATGTTCTTCGTCACTTATTCAGACAGAACATGGCTGTCCTGTCTCTTGCCAAAGATGAAAGAAAGTTTATCACTCCATCAGAAGCTGTGTTCCCCTGTAATGGTCCGACAAGCCCTGACATACTGGCCGCCATTAAAAGGACTTTGATTTCTTGTGGAGAAAATCTTGTCACACTGCCAGATAGCGTTGCAAGAGCCATAAATGAGGCCTATCCACACCTCAGCACCCTAAAACGCGTGACTCCGACTTTCCTAAGGGAAATTCTCCGCAGGATCTCTATGCAAAACATCTCTAAAGATGATAGACTCTGTCTTTTAGAGTACATTTTGAGTGATGGAAAATACGGAGAACTCAAGGGTCTTCAGCTGCTTCCACTCAATGATGGCTCCTTCAGATCCTTCACAGACAGAGAGGAGGACACTGCTTTAATTGACAGCAATGAATTTCCAAGGTAGGGCTTTAATTTTTGGCTTTATTATTTTAGTTGAAAAAAATCAGATTTGTCATCTGTTCTTGTTCCTGTTGTTCTCTTTTGTACACACATAAAACAATCACTATTACTACAATCACTATTGATGGGTGATCAAAATGTGAACCAAACAATGTGGTGTGTGCTAAAGTTCAAAGTCAGTTATAGGCTGTACAGCCCAACCTCAGCTTTAAAAGTAGATGATGATTGGATGGATAATGCTGACTTGCTTGACTGTGGCAGTTTTTTGTATTCGTTTATGAAGTAAACAATTAGTATTTGGTCAGTTTCAAATTCATTGTTTATTTGTTTTTTGGCCACTTGGAGGAGCAAGTTAGCAAACAGTGTTAGCATTCATTTGGAGTTGTGTTTATGTCCACCTGGTGAATTGATATCCAATGGTCACTTTCCCTCTAGCTCTATTTTGGACACCCCTAACCTGTGCTCCACTGTATTCACCAGATTGTTGCTAATTTTTCTGTCTGCCATTAACTGGTGGCCAGGTAGCATGCATTGGGTTTAACAGAATTTTTTTTTTTTGCAGAGAAGAACACCCTTCAGGTGTAATTATTTCTGGGCCCACATCCAGTTTCAAATGCTGTGATCGAACCTTTGATTTATTCAGAAATGTTAACGATATGATTTGTTCCAGATCTTTTTTTAATCTCCAGTAATGTCCTATTTTGAACTTACTCTCGCCAGTCTAAATTAAATCCTGATTAATGTAGACTATAGATGGTATATAGTATATATTAATCAATAAACAAACGTATTCTCTGTGCAGAGCCTTGCTGCCATGCTGCAAACACCTCTTCATCCCAGATGATCTCAGTGAAGCCTGCATTGCCCACCTGAAAGAACTGGCCAGAAAAAGTAGGAATGTCATTTTATAGAAGACAGTGACTTGAAAGTTATTTGCATTTGTCATTTGCATGTTTTCCCACTACATGTACTGTACATATATTTATACATACATTTTTCAAAAATCTTTGTTTCAGAGTTATTCAAGGTGATCAACATTGATGTAGACAAGGTGGCTGAATATACAAGGAAGTATTTACCACAGGATTGGAAGCAGACCAGGACAGGGCTTGTTACCTGGGACATCAACAGCAGTCAGCATCCACCTTTAGACTGGCTCCAAGAATTCTGGAAATTTCTCAACACCCACTTCAAAGAGTTAAGTCGTTTCACTGGAATACCATTAATACCAGTCAGTCCCCTGTCTGTCAGTCAGGCTGTTACACTAGCACAACTACAACAGAACACAACCCTCATTTTCCAGAAAAGCAAGCAGAATAGTTTACCAGATCAAATAGCTCAGTTGGTGACCAACGCTGGTGGCACAGTGGTGAGAGGAAATGAGTGGCTCCAGCATGTAGACCTAGATTCTTATGTGCTGTGCCCGTCTCCAAGGAGCGTCATGAAAGTCTTTGTGAATTTAGATTCCCAGCATCTCATCGGAAAACTCAAGATGGCCTCTCACAGAGTACGAGAAGAAGTAAAAGATTATCTCTCTCGCCTGGATTCTCTCTCAAAGTGTGAGAAAGATTTACTCTCACAATTACCTCTGTTTCAAACCATGAAAGGATTGTGTGCTGCAGCTCAATCAAAACAGGCTGTGCTTCTAATTTCTGGTCTAAGAGTACCAACGGAGTTCCCTATGCCTGATTCAGTTGTGAAGTGTGCTACTGAAGTTGATCGTAGACTGTTACAGCTACTCAAAGTCAATCTCTTGCACACGGCTGAAGCAGCCAATCTCCTCATTGACTGTATTGAGAAGCGGTCTTGCAGCAAAGAAGACACTGAGAATATTATGACCTGGATTTTACAGCACGGTAATATCCTTTTCCCTCAGAATCAGACCTTGAAACGCAGATGTAAGGACTTGAGCTTCATTGAAGTGAATGGAGAGCTGAAAAAGGCCTCAAGCTTTTTTGATCCAAGAATTCCAGCTTTTACAGTCATTTTTCAGTCAGACTTCTTCCCCCCATGTCTATACACTTGCACATCGCAGATGCTTGAGAGCCTAAACGAACTTGGATTGCTAAATAAAGAAGGAGATGTGTCACCTCTGCATTTGTTGCATGCTGCCACACTGATTGACAAAATGCATGTCAACTCTAAAACTGAGGCTCTCAAAAGAGCTCAGGTGCTCTTGAAAATGTTGGATACTAATAATCTATTGTCAAAGTTTTCTCACGAGCAGCTTCAGCAACTTAAAATGCTAAAATGGGTCCCATGTGATAAACCTGGTAATGGCAAAAAACAATGCGATGACAAATCTCAGGAAAGTTGTTTCTTCTGCCCAGATGAAATAAGACATTCTGTGTTCAAGGACATTGTTGGGCATGTGATGCCTCTGGTGGGAAAGCTCAGTGACAGAGATAGCAACACACTTGGTCTCAAACGCCGACCCCCACCCGAAAAAGTGATAGAGAATTTGTCATTCTTGACATCAAAAGTGCAGGAAATGGCTGATCCTGACACAGATGTGCATTTCAAAGGGGAGCTGTATAGCATTTACAAACACATGCAAGACCACATCTCTGAATTTACAGCAATGATAAATAGGGACACACGCTGGCTGTGGTGCCACAACCAATTTGTTTCACCAAAGGATCTGGTTCTTGACTATCCACATAATCTAGACCTGAGCTCTTACATTGGAAAGGTGCCAAATGAATTTCGGTCATTCAGTAAGTTGCTCAGGGATTTTGGTGTGAGAACATTGCTTTCAGATGAAGAAATTGTCGACATTCTTCATTCTATCCAAAAAACTATTGAAGGAAGGCAGCAGCCACTTGCAAGTTCATCTGAGGTAAAAGTGTCAGTAGAAATTCTTAACTGGCTGTGGAAAGAGAAAAAGACTGTTAAAGTTAAGGATGACATCCCGGTGCCAGTCATTATAGAAGGTGAGCAATACACGCTGAAACCACGGTCAAAAGCAGTCTTCTGTGACCTAAGCAAAAATGGGTTGAAAGAGCTTATGTATAACCAGGAGGAAATTTATGTCATACATGAGGAAATCCCAAAAGCAACGGCCGAATGGTTGGACATTCGATTTCTCAGTACCTACATCCTCGGTCCAGAGTTAGTTGGAATAGAACAGTTTGGACAATCTGAGCCAATAACAACGAGGATTAAAAACATTCTTAAAGAATATGATGAAGAAAGTGACATCTTCAAAGAGCTCATTCAAAATGCAGAAGATGCTGGGGCAAAGACCTGCAAATTCTTGATGGATTTCAGAGTACACACAGATGCCCCTGAAAGTCTTATTGACCCTGACATGGCCCTTTGTCAAGGACCTTGTCTTTGGGCATTTAATGATGAGCAGTTCACAGCTGAGGACTGGGAAAATATTGTCAGAGTTGGCGCTGCCTCGAAAGAAAACAAGGTGGAAAAAATTGGAATGTTTGGACTTGGATTCAATACTGTGTATCATGTGACAGATGTTCCCTCCATCCTTAGTGGCAACAGTCTTCTCATCCTTGATCCAAATGTAACTCACCTTAAAAAGCACATCAAACACAAAACAAATCCTGGAATCAAGCTTGATCTCTCTCAGCAGCGACTTTTCAATTGGTTCCCTGGTCAGTTTGGACCATATGAACGCATTTTTGATTGTAATTTCACCAGACAAAGTCCTCCTGAACCGTATCAGGGTACTCTGATCAAACTACCTTTCCGAACTGAAAAAGAGGCTGCCAAGTCAGAAATAAGCACAAAGGTGTATCACAAACACAATATCATCACTTTTCAACAGCACCTTACTAACAATTCGCAAACTCACCTGCTTTTTCTAAAGAACGTCAATGCATTATCTCTACAAAGTATCCCAAACAATGTAACCACGCCACCAAGAGATGACGAAAAAGAAACCGTCTTCACCGTCTCCAAAACCACTGAGAGTACAATGAGGATTCCAGATGAAACCACTGTGTCAAAGCAGCATCAAGCTGAGAATTTGCTGATGAAACTTGATGTAAAATGCAAAGAGGTAATTGACTGCTGCACAGTCAGTATTGTCCAAATCACCAGTCAGCAGTCTGGTGTAACTGAAGTCCTGTCCTGGCTCCTGTACAACTGCTTTGGAACACATAAGTCATTGAAAATGGCCCTTCAAGAAAACAAGCAAGCCAAGTTCTCTTTGCCCATCGGGGGGATTGCTGTGCCTTTGCAAAATGATCCAGAAACTGGGAAACTGGCCCCATTACAAACAGATCTTGTTGGACAGGCATTTTGTTTCCTTCCTCTTTCCATTCACACAGGTCTTCCAGTCAATGTAAATGGAACATTTGCTGTGACGAGCAACCGAAAAGGCCTGTGGGAGAGTGGAGTGAAACATGACTGGAACAAAGCTCTTCTTCAGGATCCTGTAGTGACAGCATATGTTACCACACTCTTGGCACTAAAGAAAATGTCTGAAAACAAGCAAATGGAAACTTACTGTTATCACACCTTTTGGCCTGACAGAGAGAAAGTGAGTGAAACCTTCAAGTCTTTGGTGGATGCATTTTACTCCGCCATTGCTCAGGATCCCATTGGCCCAGAGCTCTTTAGTGATGGAGAACATTGGTGCTCAATGAACAATGCCATATTTCTACATGAGAGCATTGAAAAGGATAAAGACAGCGGTGCCCTTGCAGTGCAGGTGTGCAAGAAATATGTAAAGCCACCCAACTATGTTGTTCCTCTTCCACAGTGGCTGAGAAATGGCTTCAGACAGGCAGGCCTAGAAAAGGCTTTACAGAACAGAACATGGAACTGGGTGAAGTTTTACCAAGAAGTAGTGTTTAACAACCTTGGTACCATGGACCCTATGAGTAGAGATGCTCTGGTGTTGCATGCAATTGACCTTCAAATCAAAGAAATTGACAATCTACTGGTCCACTACCCATGTATCCCCACAACTGGTGGACAGCTCCAGTGTATCAAGAAACTTGTGAATCCATCAGAGAAAGTGGCCTGTCTTTTTGAACCAGAAGAGGGACGCTTGCTTGGTGGTACCAAAAATGACTTTTGCTCCCCCAAAAGGATTCAGCGCTTGCGGGAACTTGGAATGGAAAGCGATCATCTCCCATTGGAAGACATTACAGAGAAAGCAGGCACAATCACCAAAACCTGGAGCACTGACAGAAAGAAAGCATATGGGCGGTTGAAATGCCTTCTTGAACTTATGAAAGCTCACATGCATGATGAAGACTCTCTTCACTGGGAAACACTGAGGATGACTGAATTTCTCCCAGCATTTTTACCTGGTGATACAAAAATGGAAAGAAATGTAACACTTAGAAGGCCCACTGATGTTTTCAGTGACACATGCTCCCTACTCGTTAACATGACACAACCTGTGCTGGATCTGAATCTGAAAATACACAACAATGATCCAGTCCTACAAAAATTGGGAGTTCAGCACAGTCCAAGCGTTGAGACAGTGCTTCAGCAGCTGCAAGAAGCTTGTAAGCAATCTCAGTCCATTGACAGAGTCATGCTTTACAAAATAGCACATGAATGCTATAGGATTTTGGATCAGTGGCTTACAAATTTTGGGAATTCCACTTTCATTTCACAAAGGGCAAATTCATTCCCTTTCATCCTTGTTGGCAGTACATTTATAAATGTTGACTGTGTGGCTGAAAATGGGCAATTTGAAGCAAAACCCTACCTCCATGTACTGCCACCTGCCTTTGCAAGTTTCAAGAAGCTCTGGGAAAGTGTAGGTGTTGAAAAGAATTTTACAGTCAGTCAGTTTCTAACTGTGCTCCAGGACTTGCACCGTCGACATGGAAACAAGCACCTGCCAAAGAGTGATCTGTCAATGTGCCTCATGATCTTAAACAAAGGGATATTCGAGGCGAAAGAGAAAACAGCAGGTGACTGTCTGATACCCAATGAACACGGCGTTTTACAACCTGCAAGTGAGCTGTTTTACAATGACAGCCCATGGATGCCAGTGGCTTCAGGTGTCACATTATGCCATGAGAATATTGCACGTGTTATGGCTCGCCACTTTGGAATCACAACAACCAGGCATCATACTCTGCAAAACCACATTGCTGAGAACCTTTCACCATCTTCATTTCAGTTTAAACAGCAGGAGCAACTAACGGTCCGAATTAAAAACATCATTTCAGCCTATCCATCAAAGAAGGATATCCTTAAAGAGCTGATCCAAAATGCTGATGATGCAGAGGCAACAGAAATTCATTTTGTTTGGGACAAACGTCAGCATGGCACAACAAAAACATTTGGGAAGAGATGGAACCATCTTCAGGGTCCAGCACTGTGTGTGTTCAACAACAAAGTGTTTTCTAATGCTGACCTGGTTGGCATTCAGCAACTGGGAGAAGGTGGAAAGCACAACACTCCAGGGAAGACGGGAAAATACGGAGTTGGATTCAACTCTGTTTACCATGTAACTGATTGCCCTTCAATCCTCACTGGAGATGAATTACTGTGCATATCTGATCCCAATCAAAAATTTATTGAAAGTCATTCAGACAAACCACTTCCTGGCATTGGCTACAAACTAGCAGACACTTTCAAGAACATGTACATGGATGTCTACAAATCCTTTCTTCCAGACAAATTTTCTCTTAAAGATGGCACCATGTTCAGATTACCTCTCAGGATGGGTACCATGGCAAACAGCTCTAAAATATCACAACAGGCAGTCACTGACCATGACATGAAACAACTGTGCTCTGCCCTCTCTGAAGATCCCGAAGGACTGATTCTGTTTCTGAAAAATATCTGCAAAATAAAAGTCCATGAAATCGACGACCATTCAGGAGAACTCAAAACCATCTTTGCGGTTGAGAAAAGTCTACCACAGACAAGCAGAGAACAAAAAGATGCCTTTGTAAAACTTCAACAAAATGCATTACAGTCCGACAAACCAATAATACCACACAACGCCATTTATGGGACCGTGATTTCAACCTCAGATAAAAGACAAAGTAAGTGGATCATTGCAGAACAGTTTGGCTCATTCAAAAACAGCGATGGAAGAGAAAAAACACTATCAGACAAACTTCCCCAAGCAGCAATAGCAGCACGTGTGAGCTCAAAGAGCTGTATTGAGTTCAGTGGAGAAGCCTTTTGTTCACTTCCTTTGCCAGGGAAAACAGGACTGCCAGTGCATATCAATGCAAACTTCGAGGTAGATTCTTCCAGGAGAAGCCTTTGGAAAGAAGATGGGCAAAGTCCTAAAACTGTGTGGAATGAATCATTAAAACAGAATGTCATCGCTCCGCTGTATGCAGATCTCCTTCATTACATCAGGTGTAACAGGGCAGAAATAAAAGTCTCTCTGTCACGTATTGAGGCATACCTCAGCAACTCGTACTTGCATTTTTGGCCAAATGTGTCCAAAGATGTTGATCAGGGTTGGCATGAAATGATACATGAGGTATACAGATCAATCAAAGAAAGAGGCCTTAACGTGATTCCAGTGATGAAGAGCTCAACACGTATAACTGCTGGCCATAAGTTAACAGAGTACTCCTTTGACTGGTGTGACATCAGAGAAACAGAATCAACAAAGGCAACCTACCTGACAGATTCAGAATATGTTGAGATCAATCCCATTTTAGAAGATCTTGGGATGAAATTGGTTCCTTTTTCCATTAAAATGGAAAAAGTTTGGAGAAGTTTCAAATCAGCTGGTGTTGAAGCAAAATGTGTGAATCCTTCAACTGTGCAGACTTTCCTGAGAGAAAAACCTCTCAATGACCCAACCCAAACAGATGAGGAATTACCTCTGCCCATAACTGCCACTCTGATCAGAGATGAAAAAAGATGTTCAAAGCTCTTGAGTTTCTGCTTAAAAGATTTCCTCATGAAAAAGGTCACAGAGGACAATTCCACTGCACTCAATGGGCTTCCACTTCTTCTCACAAGAGATAAAGTTTTGAGAGTGTTTAACTCCTCATCTCCCAAGTGGATATCAGGATATGAGGGTCTGTTCCTGGGCTACAATGACCAATTTGCAGATTATCAGACAAACAGAGAATACATACGTGTTCTACAACCTTTTAACCTCGTCAAAAATCTGACAGTCCCCTGTGCAGCAACATATCTGAAGCCGTTAATTCAGACTCTTCTTCAGAGCTGTGAAGTTGATCGACACACTGGTCTTCATGTCCCAAATGAGACAATGTTGAAGTGGTTGAATTTACTTTGGAGATTCTTAACAAGTCAAATTAAACCTGCAACATCTAGTGATGATAAACAAAGTCTGACACTAAGTGATGTGAAACAGCTCTTCAGTGACTGCTGCATTTTACCTGTTGTGTGTCCAAGGTTAAAGAACAAGCAGTTCCTGCAAACAATGAAAGACATGCCAAGCGTGATTCAGTTCGCTTCAGAAAGGGACATATCAGGCACCCTCTTCAAACTTGGTTTTATGAAGCTTGACAATGTGTTCTTCTCTGAGATACATGTAGATCGACAGATAACTTTACTACTGAACTGTGAACTAATGGATGTAAATGATAGAAGCTCTGTGTTGGACCAGGTTTATAACATTAACCACTCAGAGTTTTCCCGGCTTTCCCCTGATGAGATGAATGAGCTTCAGACCTTCCTGCAGTCTGGAGTATCCAAGGCCAAAGTCAAGCAAGACTATCAGAGAAAGCTGAAGTCCTTACCATTATTTGAAACAATACATGGTAAAAGAGTGAGGATTGATGGGCCAAAAGAGGTATTCATCCTCGACAGCACACATTCAAGGATATTTCCAGATTTGTTCACCCTGTCCAACTGCAACAGCACTTTTCTCAAAAACACCCTAGAGAACTGCAGTCTGTCTCAAACACTGAACATAAAAATTCTGTCTGATTTGGAGTATTTCATGAAGTTCATTCTGCCTGTTGTACACATTCTCACAGAAAGGCAAATGCTTCAGTGCTTCAAGCTCTTACTGTCACTGCAATATCATGGCAGTTATTGTCAGTATAGGGACCAAATCATCTCCTCAATGAAGACAGTGAAATTTATTCGCAGTTCACAAGACAAGTTGGAGATGGCATCATACTACTTTGATGAGAGTGTTCCGCTGTACAAGAAAATGTTGCCTGAAGAGAGATTTGTGCCTAAGAGATTTTGGGCTGAGTGTGATGCAGGAACTCTATCATTAACAAAACAACCAAAAGAGCTGCTCAAAGAACTTGGAATGAAACATGTTGTGTCAAAAGATGAAATGATAGGTTTTGCATACCAGTTAGAATCAGAAGCAAAGGGAAACGGGCATCTTCAAGAGCTGAAAGAGAAATCAACATTACTTTTAAGTAAAGCCTTGAATGAAGCGAGTTTTGACCAAACATTGCTGAAGAGCATTGCTGAAATCAAGTTCATTTTTCCTGTGCCAATTCGAGAAGAACTGTGCAACTATCACCAACCGTTTGCCGCTGAGAGAACTGCTGTTAAAATCAGAGGCTCTTTGATGGAAATCAATCCTGAACATCAAGATTTAATCTGGTCTTCAATGCCAATTATACATCTACCAGTTTATCTGACACCAAAGCTCCTGCAAATGATGAAAGTCGCAGGTGCTTATGAACAACCACCTACTAAGCATGTAACCAGCAACATGAGGAACATCTGTCAGTCGTCCTGTAAAACTGCCAAATTGATCGAAACCCGTGCAAATGTGTTCCGATGTTCCTATGCCTACCTGCAAAAAAATGCATTTGAAGGACAGCCACTGGCTGGTCTTCCTATTGTGTTGGTTGAAAAGGACAAAGAACTTGTGAGGACTGATGACACGTGCCTTTCAGTCCCCTATGACCATGAGTTCAGACCATATTTGTACCAAATTCCTGAGGATGATGTCATTTTCAAACCGTTCTTCAAGAAAGTTGGTGTAATGGAGAGGCCTACTGCAGTGCAGTATTGTAATGTTCTCTCAGCAGTTTATGTTGATTCTTGTGATAAACCACAACTAAACCCAAACCAAATGAAAACCGTGAAACGTGCTGTTCAGCAGTTGTTTCGGTTAATCAAAGCTCAAGGAAAGCAGTCCCTTCTTGATGATGTAAAGACTTTGCATCTTCCTGCAGTAGATGGTAAATTATACCCGTCATGCACACTGTTCTGCAATGACACAGTGTTTGAAACCAAAAGATTAGAAGAAGCACTGAAGAATAAGTTCCTGTTGCTTGAAAGACTAAGTGAATGTCATTTAGGTAGTGACATCTATGAGCATCATCGATTGGTCAAATTGCTGCCTCTGAAATTGCAGCCTAAAATGCTGTCTCACCTCACTGAGGAGAAAGTAGTGGAAATACAAATTCAGCTTTGTGAGCTTGAGACTGACTGTGGATTTAGTGGATGGTTTGGTAAACATCTGTCCTCAGTACCATTCAAACATGGACTAATTTGTCTCATTAGAGGGCAGTCTAAGGGAGAAATAACACAAAAAGATGCTTCTGACATGTGCGAGAAGATTTTTGGCAGAATTCAAATTGTCTGCTGCAAAAACCTGGAAACAAAGCTTTGGCTGGATAAGCAGCCACTACACAAAACTGCCACTCAAACTGATGTTTTTGTCAAACGAGATCAACAAGGTTGCATATTTTACCTAAAACACAATGATGACATGGCTGTGAAGGTGATGCTACAGGTCACTATGACATTGACAAAGGAGATTAATAATCTTTTAGGTAACATAATTGCATCAAATCACCTCTCAGTCCTTGGACAACTTATCATGTGTGACAGTCTGCAAGAGGTTCAGAAAATTCTGGCTAACAATGGGATCCATGACAGTGCTGAAACTGAAAGTGTCTTCAAACCACCAGCACCTGGGACAGATGTACCAGAGGAATGGCATGATTCCTTAGACATGAATGTCCTCAATAACTTTGAAGAGGGGGAATATGTTGCCTACAGCACTAACAACAAGTACATTTATGCAGTTATTGTTGAAGAACTGCCTGGGAACTCTGGACAGTATTCATGGAGATACAAAGTAGATATTGGAGAAGATGAGCCAATTGAAGTCAGTTGTCTTGATCTATATCAGTTTAAACGAGAAAAGAAGTCAAAACCTCAACGGACAACTTTCACATCTGCTGAAGCTTCTTGTATGGAGTTGGAGCCACTAGCAGGTGCTGTGCCACATTCTTCCCAATCGTCAACTACGAGTTCCTCATCTACAAGATCCTCACCAGCCTCTGTTGATGAAGCTAAAATGGAAATTGACAAATGTTTGGCAGAGATCTGGCCTCTTCCTGAGGAGGAGAGGCAAAAAGCCATCAAGCGACTGTACCTTAGATGGCATCCTGATAAAAATCCTGACTGCCAGTCTCTCGCAACTGAGGCATTTAAATACTTGATGAATCGAATTGATGAGCTCAGGAAGGGCAAAGGCAAAGGTAAAACTGGAGGTTCGTCCTGTCCAAGGGGAAACTCAAACTTCCAAGACTTCTACCAGCAGTGGAATCAGGAGGCCAGGCATCACAGAGATGGTCGAGAGAGATTCTCTAGAGGTTTCCATTCCTACAACTTTTGGACCCATAATGGAAATGTTCCAAGGCCGAACAAAGAGGAGGCCCAGCGCTGGTGCAGACAGGCTCGCTGTGATCTCGATGCAGCTTACAAAGACACTGGTGGGGGGAGCACAGAATGGTGTCTGTTTAAAGTCCATCAAGCAGTGGAAAAGTCTCTCACAGCTGCAGAGTATAAAAGACACGGTCAACCTCCCAGTGGCAGCTCCATTTCAGCCCTTGCTATGAAAGTTTCCCACTTCAACCCTCAACTGAGCGTTCTGCCTCAAATTGTGCAAAATCTGAAGATGCTGGGAGTAGATCCCAAAAAGACTCAGTATCCCAACTGCCACCCATATCCCCACATCCCAAATGGACAGTTCAGATCAGAGAACGAAATGCAAGCACTGAACAAAGCAGCTGAGCTTCTCACTACAGTAGAGGCATATGTGAATTAGGGATTCAAGACAAGCAGACATGTCATGCTGGAAAAGTCAATTTAAGATTTGCTTGTTTAAAAAAAAAAAAAAAAACTTGAGACAAAATTGAAACATTACTATAAACAAAACAATTGCATCATTTAAAGGTAAATCATATGACTGTTACGAAAATTTTGAAATGAAACTTGTGCAAGTTTGTTTTATATTTGACTCATTACTGAGGATCAGTGTAATCACGTATGAATTGTTATGAAAATGTAAATATCAAAGCATTTTCTGCATCATTGTAAACATTTATAACTACTCACTGAGGATCACTGAATATAATCACTGTACAACTTTGTTATGGTTTGTTATGATTTATAGTTGTGCTCTGAGAATCAATATATTTACTCTACGACTTTGTTACAAAAATGTGAATATCAATGATTTTTTTTTTTTTAATTTTAACATTTTTTTTTTATACATATTCATGTTATTTTCTATTAGCATTTATCACTGAGGACCAGTATTATTATATGTATGTATTTTTTTTTCCCTTTCTTTTTTCAGTATTATAAACATTTATGACTACTCAGTTAGGATCAATATAATCAGTGTGCAACTGTGCTATAAAAATACAAATATCAAATACTTTTTTTTTCTTTTTTAGCAATTTTGACTACTAAGTAAATTTCTAATATTTTAAACATTTATGAGTACTCTCTGAGGATCAATATATTCACTGTATGACTTTGTTATGAAAATGTGAATATAGATTTTTTTTTTTTTTAAACAATTTTAACATTTATGACTACTCATGAGGACCCATGTAATAATAGTACAAATGTATGTTCTATTAGCACAACTACTCACTGAGGGCCAATACTGTTATGTGTATGGATGCGCAAATATATTTACTTCTTCCTTTTTTTCTATATTATAAACATTTATGACTACTCAGTTCAAATCAATTTAATCAGTGTACATTTGTTGTATGAAAATACAAATATCAAAGACTTTTTTTTTTTTAGCAATTTTGTCACTGTATGACTATAAATGAAAGGGCAACTATCAGTTTTTTTTTTCTTCCAATATTGTAAACATTTTGTTTATGAAAATGCAAATGTAAAAGACTTTGTCATTCTTAATTCTCTTTCGTTAAAGTTGTATTACCTGTTACCTTTTGAAATAAAAGACATGAAAATAATGTTCAATAAAGGATGAAACAGCAATTCCTGTTTCATGTTTTTAAATACCATTGTAAAATTTGGCCAGGGGTAGACACTGTATTACTGTAACCAGATACACCATAAAGATACAAAAGTACTACAAACTAGCTGTTCAATTATCAACACTTGTTCCAATTTTTACAACCATTTGATACTCACCAAATCAGGACAACCACACAGTCAGACCACGTCGTCACACTGGTTATACTGTCACCTGCTGGCCAATCAGAGTCAAGAATTTTCAGTGACCTTTATTATAAGATAAGTAAATGTAAATGGAGTCCGCTAACACAATGTAATTCAAATTCAACTCCGCCAACATTCAAGTAGTGAACACACGTGTGTACTGTAGGTGTGCACGGTTTTGCAAGAAGTTTGAACTGAGAGTGAACTGATTTGTTCATGGGACCTAAGATTGTAGCATACAGAAAAAAATACTTTAGGTACTTGAGAAAAAACTTGTAATTAAGTTAAAATATTGTTGTTGGACACCTGGATGCTGTTTCCACTGAAGACAAACATTTCAAGTTAAAAGCACTTTTTTATTCATTAAGAAATCATGTTATGAAAATAATGACAACTAACCATATATCAGACAAATGCATCTTTCCATATGTTAACAACAAAAGTTTGCTCAGGAGGATGTGACATCTCAGCAGTCACCAGAGCATAACTGTCTTCTCCTTGTGCTCAAAGTGTGCTTTGTCTCATCCTGGTAGTGGTCAGTTCCCACTGTTCTTTCTCTCTATAAAAATGTTTCCAAGGCTTTTCATGTCTCTTCTCAATGTCCACACATGAGAATCCGTTTCAATTTCTTTTTTTGTGAAGGAGAAGTTCACATACGCACATATCAGATTCGGTCATAGTATTATGCTTCCTGTCGACTCCTCCATCTATTAATAATTTACACAAAACCTGTACATACTTACAGCAGGCTGGAGCCTGTTTCTGAAGGGATGTGCACATAGAAAAAAGAAGCAACATACAGTGAAGTGATCTTTTCAAATTAAAAGTAATGAGATGCGATGTTATGATGTCACGACACTTCATTCATTACATGCAGCTCACAACTTTCTTCAACTCTCATTCAACCTTATGTATCCTTATGAAATGAGGCTATGACATTCTGCATCAAACCCATACCAACTACAGATTCTTCCAGTCTTTTGCTATAAAACACACATTCAACACAATCGACGATAGGGACAGACATTATTAAAAATATTTATGGAGTAAGTGTGTCTTTGTAATGGCTGATGTTAGGATCAAGTATGTTCATCTTAGCCAAAAAGATGAAAGACTTTGGGTGCAATAAGAGCAGGATTTACCATACATATCCTCCTTCTGCATATTCTTTTCCTATCCAACAGCTCATAAACTTCACAAAATTAAGTTAAACAGTAGCTGGGACAAGAAGAGGCGTCTGAAAAACACTTAAGGCTTAATTCATATCATTTGGCACGCTGCTAATAGTAAGCAACGATTATGTTCCTCACTACATCATGACTTTGAATGACTGGTACTTGCTGTGTGCAGTCATTCAAAGCAACATCTTTCACATGACTCATATTGCATTTTGTTCAGATAAAACAATAACTACATTACACATTTAAGATTGAGAAAAGAACAAGATTTAGTCAAACCACAACATTATTTCTAAGCGTTTGGTTACTGACACTACAAACTAAAGCACTACTGCTGGAATGAGCAACAAATAACACTAACTGCCCCTTTCTCCAACACCACTGCTGTGTGCTTCTTTGTTCATGCAATAACATGATGTGAACTGAGCTGGTTCACTTCAGGGTTCAACCGTAATCTGGAGAGCTGCCCTCCACAGATGTAATGATGATGCTTGTGGGGTAGAATTTTTCTATGAAAAGCACATGACCTGTAATGGCACAGGAGGCTCTGTGAACGTGAATCATGTTACAGCTTGTTTGAAACAGGGTTTTGGGTACTGGGGTCAGTCCTGTTCTATGGCACAAGTGTATGGCAAACAGAGCTAACATTCAATATTTTGGAAACTGACAAAGTAAATTATGTTAATGGCACAGTGTAGTATTAAACCTTAACCACCTGCTGTACTGCTATTGGGTGTCCTGGGTTTAAGGAGTCAAAAGTTCTCTCATACATACAAAACTCACTTTGACAAAAACAAAATGCCCTTTAAAACATTATTTGTTGAGGCAAAAATCACAGGGAGAAACAAACATGAGGTTTGTGTCAGTTTTATATCTCTTGGAATTTCTTTCCATCTTGCTGTAAAGTTCTGTATCCACATTTCTTTCATACTGTGTTTCCCCTCTGAGCTGACAGAAGAGGGCAGCTCGCTCTCTTTCAACACAAGCCATACTGACACAGGGCCCACGACCGTTCCAAGCTCCATATTTATTGTCCTGCCGTCTCCTGAAATGTGATGAGCCACAAGGAGGGGTACCCCTCCTGCAGCAGGGTCCTCACATGTTGTAAGCCACATATATGGGGTCCAGCTGGTCGGCAAGGAATCCATCTCTGAGGTGCATGCGTTGCTTCTCCCCTCGGGAGTTGATGGGGATGACTCCAGGGTCGACCACCACCACCACCCCTACGATGAGGTAGTGCTCCTCCAGGACTACGTTGGTGACCAGGGCAACCAGATCCAGGGCCTCCTGCTCCGATCCCTCCAGCTCCACAACCACCACGAGGAGGTTGGTCCAAGTGAACACCGCACTGGAGGGAGGAGGAGGTGGTGGATGCATGAAGGGAATGAAAACAGGAAGGGGACATAGGGCAGGAAATGACATGTAGAAGATGTCAGGAGTCAGAATTAATTTTGCTCAACTATATTTCAAATATCAAATGGGTAAATAACATGATGAATAATAATAATAATTCACAGTAATAAAGTAGTTATCTATAATTGATGTAAATTTCTCACCATTCAGCTATGCTCTTATGAGAGCGGATAACAGAGGTCTCAATGTCAATTGGGTGATACCTCATTCCCCTCAGCTCCAGAGTCTCATCAAGGGAGCCCACCACATAGAGGGCGTCATGGCGCTCTGAGACAATGACACACACACACACACACACACACACACACACACACACACACACACACACACACACACACACACACACACAGATTTGTCAATTTAAATCTAATAAATTAAAGAAATCAAGTTTTGAATTGATATAAGAGAGAAAAGAAGGAGGTTTTACAAATATCTTTAATTTTCTGTGGTGAAAAAAAGTGAGTCCATCATACACCAAAAGCAAAGCGGTGACTGTAAGTCAGAGTAAGCACTGATGATTCTCACCCCCACTGGCGTCAGTCAGTTCAGTGCGCCGCAGGAAGCCCAGGTAGCCCGTCCTTGCCCAGACAGTCTGGGTGTCGCCGAAGCTGAGCTTGGTGTTGAAGTGGTCAGCGTGCAGCGCCTCCTCCCCATAAACTGTGTAGTAGCCTGTGGCATTGTGAGGACTGCTCACCCAGATCTATTACACACACAACAATGACAAGTTGTCAAGTCCTTGTTACACAGATGATCATACACATACACCACTCTCCTGGTCAAAGCTTCAGATCTACTAGACTATACTATTAACTATAATCTCAAATGCTAAAACTAAAATTTCAACACAGTATCAAATAAAACTGAATATTATAGGCATCATAAAAAGTAGACTATGTGGCAGATTTATTGGATTGGATTGCATTAGATTGTGCAGGTGACCTAGTTAAGTGGCCAGTGAGTGTATTAACAGTATAAAGTAAAGAGAATAAATGCAATGAATGGTCTTCATTACATTTACAAATAAAGCTGATCTCAGCCGTTGTTTGTGTTTTATATATATGTGTGTGTTGTATGTGTACTGAAATAGGCATTTAATCAGATATGAGTC